TTGTAATCATTGATAAAGGTGTAACTGACGAAGATAGTTGCAATCTTTTTTCAGACACTTAAGATATAACAAGATAAACCATATTATTTATTATACTTTTCGCCTAATGAGAGTGTGGGACTATCACATTCGGGATACAGAAAAGAACTCAAAACAGAAATTAAAACAACAACATCAATGACACGATAGCCAGATATACTAGGTTTCAAAACAAGTGCATCTTTTAAGTTTTCAATTTTACGAGATGAAGCGGAAAAGCTTAAGTGAGATTTCAATATTTGGTTTCAAAACACAAGTGTAATATTTAAATTTATTGATGGCAACACAATAATTACACTATCAGAAACACAATCAATATTAACAGATTAACATTTCCCATAAATCTTTTCTTTTTACTGTGAGTTTGTGTACGTTACTTTACTCAACAGTCTTTTCCCATTTTCACTAATAAAACTAAGCTGATAAAATAACACAATAACTGACTCAAATTGTCGTACTTGATATACCAACCTTTACAAAAGTTCTAGAATAATTCATAAAGAAGCTTTTCAAAATTGTATATAATTATCATAACACTTGTTTGGGTTAAACTAGGTATAATGTATGGTGTATAGTTAATTAAATGCGTTGCTATGGCGTTGCAAGGGATATCACTGCAGTAGTTTATTCAAATAGACAACTTTAGATAGTTATTGGTTAATATATTACTTTTAAAACATTTTTATGATCATACATAGGTAAACGTAGTTTAAATTTAAGATCTTTTTTTTAAATTCTAAAATTTTAAGGGGGGATAGTCTTTTGATGACCGCAAATTTAACCGTTTACAATACGATAAACCGGTTTTTGAAGTCTGAAACAGTTGAATGCAACTATACTGAAAAAAAAGCCATTTAGAACTAAAAAAGTTATCCGGTTTGTAAAAGACTTGATTCGGAGGAATCCAATTAGACCAATCAGAAAATAGGACCGTTGTATTAAATGACCTCAATTTTATTATTTTCGGATAAAAAGATTTTACGGTGGATTCAATCTCAAATACTCTAACTGACTTGTACATTTTAGACAAGTCACCTTAATCATTAGATAGTGAAAAAGTATCACCAGTATTTATTTGTTCTGGATTCAAAACACAAAAGAGCGCATAAGCGTTTTAAATGACAATTTGAAACCTTGAACTGCTTCAAACTACACTTCTTGTATTAATTTTTTTTTTATAGATATGTGGTACCACAACAAATTTAAATGTTACCATATCTTTCTTTAGTTCAAAAATCGCTTGTCAAACGCAATCTTTCTCAAACAAGAAGATTTGAACAAAAATTTTCGCAATTTATAAATAAATGCAACGTTTAATTTGCTTCAAGTACGTCTATGTCTATATTGCAGAACGCTTTCATTGAACTGTCAAAAAAGGTGAAGAGAACTGTGTGCAGTTTATTGGTACAACATCAAACAAAGAGGTAGTTTTAAGTTCTGGAAATAAATTGCACTAATACAAATAAGAGTAAAATGAATTTATAAAGTCTTACTGTCATTTGTTGTGTCATTTTCATAAAAATTAAGTTTTTTGATTTTTAATTTTATTTCCATGAAGTACATTTTTTTATTTTTCATGAAGCTCATTTTTTCATTTTTATGATAGCACGCGGGAAAAAAATGGCATAACCACATTTAGAAAGTTGTGAAAAAGTATATATAGATCATTTATAAAAGCCTTTGTAAAGTTAAGAATGTTCACTTTGACAAGAACAAACAGTTTGCTTTTTTAGCTCTTTGCTAAAAATAATCTCAACCCATAAACCTTTTTTTGGTCATATATTTTAATTGATCACCTTCCATTCTAGACTTGGAAAACACATAAAAAATTAATCTAAAGCACACAAAGTTTTGTCTTACAAATGAAACATATTTTGAAACACTGTTAGACCAATATATATAATTTATATAAAGCATACTTTATGCATGCTTTGCTAACAAAGATATAAAATTACATTTATTTTTAATGTCTATTTTATTATTAAAATGAGATTTTGTCACTTTACTCAAAACGGACTACTTACTCCAATGTAGGACAATCTACTCAGGAGTAAGCCTTGACGGCCAGTTTTCACCGACGGCCAGTTTTCTCGGTACAGGGAGCTTATTCAAAACTCTTTCGTAAGTCAAAAATTTGCGTAAGTTTTAGCGTAAAGGTGAGTTTCCACTCATCCCTTTTTTCACGGGAACGGGATAGGAAAGGGAAAAATAATCAGGTGAGCATGCGTAGTTTTCCTTCAGACATATTAAAACTTATACTACGCATGCCCACGTGATTATTTTTCCCGTCCCTTTCCCGTTCCCGTGAAAAAAAACGGATGAGTGGAACTCACCTTAAGTTCAAAGTTACGCAAAGTCATATTCACAAAGCAAAAGCTTACGATATTCTTAAGTTTTTGCGTAAGTTTTTACTTAGGGGTCGTCCATAAATTACGTCACGCAATTTTTGACAGTTTTCGAACTCCCCCCCCCCCCTCCTCGTCACAAAATCGTAACACTTAAGAAGCGAGTTTTGAATGAGTCGTCACAAAACCACCAACCCCCCTTCCCCCTTATAGCGTGACGTAATTTATGGACAATCCCTTACACAAAAAGTCAAAAAAACGGTATTCACAACATTTTCCTAAAAAAAGCTCAGCAAACTTTACGCAAGAAAAGTTACGTCTGCTATTTTCTGACTTACGTTTTTGCGTAACTTTAATTCGTCTAATATTAAAAAATGGCGTTTTAGTTATTGTAAAAGATTTCAGATTTTGTTTGTTACTGCCATTAAGTTATATACTTATATTGCCAATAAATTATATACTTATATTATACTGCTATACGTAAGTTATTTACTTAAAAAATACAGCTATAACCTTTTTTTTAACAATAACAACAAATTGTTGTTATTGTTGAACAATAGAAATATAATATATGGACATTGTTGTTGTATAAAAAAAGGTTATAGTTATATTATTTAAGAAATAACTTAACGTATGTTAATATATGGAAAATATATTATTATATTTACCAAAAATATAGAAGCACTACATAAGCTTGTTTTAAGGTGAAAAAAAAATATATATATACACATTTTATATAATCGATGGTTTACTTTTAATTGAATACCATATAAGAGAGCTAGCTCTCTTATATGGTATTATATATGTGGAGAGCTCTCTAGAGATCTCTCTTATATGGTATTAGATGGTTCACTCTAGAGCGAACCATCCATTATATAGAATGATAATATGACTCTATAGATATAGAATGAAAATATAGATATTATATAAATATGAGAGCTCTTATGGGGGGGGGGGGGGGTTGCTATTACAACTTTTGCTGACTTGAAAAAAAAAAAAAAATAGGTCCTTGTTTTCGAAAGTTTGCCGACTACCATGACGATATTTGCTGACTGTCTACTGTCTAGATTACCGACTAACCTATATCAAAAGGGTCGACATTTGCCGACTAAGGGTCCAATTTGCTGATTAAAAATCATTGATGGGGGAAGGGGGAGTGTTACCCCCCGTACCCCTCTATTGCATACACACATATTAAATATATGTGTATGTGTGAGTAACATCATTGTTACTTATATATTGTTACAAACACATTTTTATTATAATAAAATATGTGTAAATTAAATTTAATATATGTACATATATTAGTTATATCAACAACGTGTTTATCAATAACGTGTTATATCGTTAACATTACTAGATACGAAAACGATACAGAATTTTTTAAAGAAATATGGAAACATAAAAATGCAGGTATTATGCCGTTAATCAAGTGGAACATAATTAAAAAGTGTCAATCATATAATCCATCAACTTAAAATATGTAATCTTTGTTTATATGAAAAGTATTTAATTATGACTTATGATTAAGGATCATTACTTAATAAAAAAGTGTTGGTTTCTTCTTGCAGGCATAGAAAAAAGTTCTGCTTTCACAATTTCACAAAAAAGCAGCCGTAGTGCAGTGGTAGCACACTTGCCTCAGAAACGTAAGATCCGTGGTTCAATCCCCGCCTCTGGGCAAGTTTTGCGACATCGGTTGGGAAGGAGGCGTGAACTTCCTATTAAATGCTCTTCCGCGGTGCTCTGTGATAAGACCGTAAGGACTTCTTGGGGCACCTAAAATCAACATTAAAAAAAAAAAAAAAAAAATTCGATACCGATTAGGAACTCATGATATCATCTGACGTAAACTTAACGTCAGATACCGTTACAACGCTAAAAGATTGTATTTTTTAACGGTTTTTTATTTTGTAAATTTTGAATAATATGTCTGAATGATTGCCGAGTGGCATGAAACTAATAGTTCCATAAAAATTTGTAGTTTTTTCATTTAAATTGTATAAATATAATTCGATCTATTTTACAAAGAAATATTGATCATTCTTAAGCAGGCAAGAGCTGTATTTTAAACAGAATACTATACCTATCAACAATATATATATATATATATTATATATATATATATATATATATATATATATATATATATATATATATACATATATAGCAAATAATAAAAATAAGCAAGAAAATTTATTAAACTACCACATTGCACAAAAAATAGTTTGCATACTGATTTAAAATTTAAAGTAAATTAAAAGATTTAACGACCTTTGCAAAAAAAAACACGATTTTAAATTTGAAGACAAAAAATTACTACATTTACTTAATTAACGCACGATTTTCTATTGTAATTTGTAGTATCATTTGTGCGTTATTTCCCCTAGGAGTCATTTCGAAAAGTTGCAAAAAATTTTTTATAAAGAAGTTCAAAAGTTTTTATTTTTTGTTATTAAATGTTAAGTTGACTCGATTTAAACAATTTTCAGTAAGTTTAGTTACTTTTTTTTTTTATTTCTTTAATAATTTTATGAATGTGTTTTGAGAACTTTGTTAATTTTTTTTTTTTTTTAAATTGTAGAAATAATTTTATCTTAAAAAATATTCTGTCTCATGTCACATAAAATTTCAAATTCGAGAAAAAAGTTGTCTGGTTATGAGTACAGAAAAAGAAAGTCCGTTAAAGATCAAAAATTTGAAAAATTTAAAAAATTCATGAGCATTGGAAAATATGTTGCTTTTAAAAAACCTGACGAAGGTCGTGAAGATTTTAACCCTGATGCTTCAACTATCTCTACGACTATGTCCAATAAAATTGGAGAACCTTTAACAATACTCAAAAATAGTTGTATAACTTCATTGCAAATTGAAGTAGATAATGAACCAGTTATTTTAAAAGAATCGAATGATTTATCGGAAGATTTTTTACAAGAAACACCTAATTTATTGGATTGTGGAAATTGGCCAATTGTTCGATCTAGCAACTTTGTGGACCATTTAATCAAACTTGGTCCTTTTCAAATTACAAAGGAAAAATACCCTGAAGATAGAAATGGTCGGCATTTTTCTAGCATTTATTACAATAGAAAGCTCGCGAATGGAGAAACCTTTTGTCGTAGATGGTTGGTTTATTCAGATTCTAAAAACTCCGTATTTTGTTTTTGCTGTCTACTTTTTGATAATAATTCAAAGTCAAACTTAGTCTCTGATGGTTTCAAGAAATGGAGACATTTAACTGAAATATTGGGAATTCATGAAAACAGCGTCTCTCATATGAAATGTTATCAACAGTGGGTAGAAACTGAAATAAGATTAAAAACTGGAAAAACTACAGATAATGATGAAATTAAAATTATAGAAAAAGACAGTTTGCGATGGCAAAATGTTCTTCTTCGGCTGATGAATATCACTCTTTACCTAGCTGAAAATAATATGGCTTTTCGAGGTAGTTCGGATAAACTGTTTACGCCTCAAAACGGCAAATTCTTAGGACTAATACAGATGCTTGCAAAATTTGATCCTGTGATGCAAAAGCATTTAGCACTTGCAATAAAAGGTGACACTTCAGACCATTATTGCGGGAAAAATATTCAAAATGAGTTAATAGATTTAATGTCTCAAAAGGTTAATGATGAAATAATAAACCGAGTCTTGAAAGCCGTTTACTATTCAATCATTGCTGATTGTACACCTGATATTTCTAGAAAAGAACAACTTTCTCTTACTATTCGAATTGTTGGCTTGTCATTAGACATTAGAGTGGAAATTAAAGAGTACTTTTTAGGATTCTTTTCTGTTTCTGATTCTACAGGCTTAGGACTTACTGAGGTTTTAATCGAGTTGCTAACTAAGCATGGACTTAAAATCTCTAACTGCAGAGTTCAAGGGTATGATAATGGATCAAATATGAAAGGAAAGATTAATGGTGTACAAAAAATGATTTTAAATCTTAATCCTTTAGCATTATATGTTCCTTGCGGCAACCATAGCTTAAATTTGGTAATAAGTGACTCTGCACGGTCTTCAGTAAAATCTATAGCTTTTTTCGGTATTCTTCAGAGATTGTTTACTCTATTCTCAGCTTCAGTGAGCCGATGGAAAATTTTAATTGATCATGTTAAAAAATTGCATTTAAAGAAACTCTGTGACACGCGGTGGAAAGCAAAAATAAGTAGTGTTAAAGCCGTTCGTTATCAAGTTGGTGATGTACATGACGCTTTGATAGCATTGTCAGAAATTGAAGGATATAATCCTGAAACTGCACATGAAGCGATAACTCTAGGAGAGCAATTAAAAGATTTTAGCTTTCTTGTCTCTTTAAATGTCTGGTATGACGTTCTTTTTCAAGTCAATATTGTTAGTAAAACTCTTCAAGAAAATGACATGGACATCACTCAATGTGCAAAGTTATTGAAAAGCTGTTGTTCATTTTTAGAAAACTATAGAAAATATGGTTTTAAAGATGCAATTATAAAAGCAAAGGATTTGGCTATAGAATTACAAGTGGAGCCTGTTTTTAAACCACTTAAAAGAATAATACGAGTGAAACGCCATTTTGACGAACCAGCCCAAGATGGGATTTATTTATTTTCTTCTGAAAAAAAATTAGAAATCGATTTCTTCAATCCTCTTTTAGACACCTTTAATTTCAATGAGAGAAAGATTTATATAGTTGGAGAATTATTCCGAAGTTTGGGGTTTTTTGTATAATGTCGATAGTTTGCAAAAAAGAGAAGAAATTCTAAAATCATGTTTAGCTCTTCAAAGTAAACTTACCGTAAATCTAAAATCGGACATTAATGGTATTCTCCTTTGCGATGAACTGATGAGCATTAAACCTTTTCTTTCCGAAATGGTCAAGGATAAAATTACTCCTGTTATTGTTTTAAACTTTATAAAATAGCACAAAATGCAAGATTTGTATCCAAACACATGGATTGCAATGCGAATTTTGCTAACAATATCTGTCACTGTAGCGAGTGGAGAAAGAAGCTTTTCCAAAATGAAACTAATAAAAACCTATCTGCGGTCAACAATGTCGCAGGATAAACTTTCAAGTTTAGGAACCCTATCGATTGAAAAGAATATTGCTGAAAATCTTGATTTTTCAACCCTAATCAAAGATTTTGGTGATAAGAAGGCTCGTAAGATTAATTTAAAAAATTAAATGTATTTTGTGTAAAACATAAACAAAAAATGTTTCTTTGTATGTTGCGTTTTATTGCAAAGTATTATTTTTGAATTCGATTTGTTATTATTTTCCATGTAATTTACCAGCACGTTTATAAAATTTTCAGGGGCGGCAGGACAAATTTTCGCACGAGGGCGGCAAAAAGGCTAAGGCCGGCACTATATATATATATATATATATATATATATATATATATATATATATATATATATATATATATATATATATAGTGCCGTATATATATATATATATATATATATATATATATATATATATATATATATATATATATATATATATATATATATATATATATATATATATATATATATATATATATATATATATATATATATATATATATATATATATATATATATATTATATATATAAAACACACAAAAATTATATTCTTTTAAAATCATTACCATGTATGAAACTTTTGGCATCTTGGACACCATTTGCTGATCAATGGAGTCAAGCTCTTCCAAGCACCCCTCACCCCGCCAGTCTTGTTTAAATTAGAAATAATCCGTGCTGCTTTTCCCTTGCTGTCAGATTTTTGATCAGATAGCTTCTTTTTACATTGTAACACTCTGCGGTCTGAACTGACAAGAGAAACCTGGTCCGCAATTTTACTCCATGCATCGTCTTTTGTAAGTTTTGAGATTGTTAAAAATAATTGAAATTTTCTATTAGCATTAAAAATGTTTTATCATTATTAGGTAATATATATCTAAAATAAATCTGTTTTACAATGAGAAAATTTTCCATCGTAAGTTATTGCGTAAGTTATTCATAACTTTTGCTCAGCTACGCAAGAGTTCCGTATTTTGGCCAAGATCAATTGGCCAAAATACGGAACTTTCCCCTTAAAAATTCGGAAAACACTAAATCCAGTCCTTCAAAGTGCAATCTAAATTTTACTGACCGATGCGATATCCAACGGAAATATAGTTTTAACTTTATAAAAAAAAAACTCTGAGATTTTTAATAACATTTGTATTTTATATTTATTATTATTCATGTTGTTATTAATAATATTTTCGTTTAATATCAATTTCGAAACATTTATATCACATTGTAAATGCCGTAATCGGGTCTAGAATTTTTAAAAAACTGCTTAAACGGCACTTTGACGGATTGGATTTAACCTTTCCCTAAAAATTCTAGCAAATATTGAATGTCTACTTTTCCCAGCCGGACATAAAATATGTGGTTATGGACAATGGAAAAAAATTTTTTTGATATGTTTTTGATATTTTTTTATAAACAGAAATAGGAATAGCTAATTTTTTAAAAACAGATCATAAAATATTTCTAAAAAGAAAAATATTTTTGAAAACAGAATGGATGTCCAGTTAAGAATAGCTGAAGAATATAAAATAAGTAAAAATTATAATTAATTCATGTTGCAAAAATTTATTCAAATAAACTTAATTATGATAGTTGAATAATAATTAGTTATGATAGTTAAGGATGTTTGACTATGGTAGTTAAGCAGTATTTATCTAAAATAATATTTAACTATAATAGTTAAATAAATTTAGTATTTTACTAAAGTATAATTGATTTAAAACGAAAACAAAAAAAGAAACATAAATTATTTTCTATTACTAATAGTATTAGCATCAGATAAGTCCAATAGAATTATTATTTTTTAATTAAAATGTTTATCTAATAAATTATGAATTTTTATATTTTTATGAATGTTTAAAGTAAAAACATTTTTTTTGATGTTTTTGTGGTTACATAGAAACATAGTTTATATTTGTTAGTATAACTAACAATTTAAATTGTTTTCAAAACTAGATTAAAAATTTTAAAATTCCACAACAATTTTATACAAAATTATTATATATACAAGTAAAAGATGAATAACGATGAATGAGTAAGCTTCTGACAAACTTTTTTTTATATATATTTTTATATCTAAAGGAAAAAAAAAAATATTAAAATAAAAACTTGAGTTGATTTTTGTAAAAAAAAAAAAAAAAAGTCATTTCAAAATAGACATAACAGTTTTTACAATGTGCTTCTATGCAAATTTCAGAGTTAAAAAAAATAAAAAAATGCGAGCCATTTTAATTTTTTTTTAGGTATCACCAGTGTTTACTATGTTTGGTTAACATATAACTATGTGTCATATGTTAACCATACATATATGAACCATAGCAAACAGTGTTTGGGTAAAGCTATAGTTACGCGGCCTAAAATAATTATATTTTTGCCAGGGGGTTTTGCTACATCGACTATCTTATAGCCTGACTCCTGAATCTTTTTCCTTTTATTATATCAATGTAGCAAAACCCCCTGGCAAAAAATATAATTATTTTAGGCCGCGTAACTGTAGGATTACCCAGTGTTTGCTATGGTTCATACTATTTATTTTCACTCAGTAAAGGAGAATTTTTCATTTTCCTTTAGTAGTAGTTTTTTTTATATTAAAACATAACAGTATGGTTGTAGTCAAGATAAAATGTGTGTAAATACAAACATAAATATAAAAAAATATAAAAGAACTTGTTGTTTCTTTTCTTTTCTGGAATAAAATATCTCTGAGATTCTAAAACCATAAAGATTCTAGAACCATAATCATCCAAACTTATTTTTGCTGACTATAGGAGAAGTGCATAAATATAATTTAAATCAGGATAAATTATTAAAAATGAATGTTTTGTATTTAGTTAAAAATAAATATTTATAAATTATATTTACGTTAGGCAGAGAATCAATGTATTCCATTTTTTTCCTGTTTTTTAAATTTTGATTTCAATAGAAAATGCTATAAAATAGTATAAAAGGATATAAAATAAATGTTTTATCTAACCCTTTAACTGATTATGATAGAACTCATTTAATAAAAATCAAAAATTTCACTTTAACTACATTACTTGAAAATTAGTAAATAGTTGATTACAAATTTAATCAGTTATATTTTTCATGTCTAGTACATTTAAATAATGTATATAACTACGAAATTAAAACTATAATAAAATTATTTAATCAGTTTTGAATTTTTTTTTGTGTCTATATAATTCAGTTATATCAGTGTCCTTTTTAAAAGCATCCCCTTATTTATTTAATATCCCCTTATTTATTAACATCCCCTTATTTATTATCATCCCCTTATTAGTTCCCATTTATTTCCTAATATACAAATTTGCTCAAGGTTAGCCACAATCAAACATTTTAATGTAGAGAAGTAGTTATTCTTTTTGCCTGATACTCTTTCTCTAAATCCTGATTTGCAGAAGCAGTTTTATTTCAAGAATAAATAAGCATTTTCATGTTTCAGGTACAGAGATTAAAGCCATTTCTTTTCTGTTGTCAATAACATTTACAATCTTAATTAAACAGTTGAATGACTTTTTGATTTAAAGACTAAAAACAGGAAGTTGCATTTAGGTAAATAAAGTAGTATGTGATTGATTTTCGGGTATTCAAATGGTTGGTGTAATTATAAATAATCAATGCCCTATGGTATTCAATTAAAAACTTTCTATCATGTTCTCTTACTTACTCTTCAAATATATATGGAACATATATGGAATAATATGGAGCCCATTTAGCTTTTTTTTTTGTGCACAGTTATGACATGGAGTGCTTTTCATTTTTTTAAACCAAATGGGTTCATTTGATTTCCTGATTTTCTTCATTTAATTCCTGATTTTTTACACATGTTAGGTACATCAAGCCAAGTTAGCCAAATCTTAATCTAAATTCTTGTCTTCACTACATTTCTCCCTTTCACATGCATACTTATTGTTAATAGTTGTAAAGCAAACCAAACTCATCGGCATTGAATATATCAAGGGGAAAAAAATATATGAAAACAAAATTATAGGCAAAGTTGTGTCTCTCCAAAGAGGTGCCATTTTGTTGGTAACTTTCGTCTAAACAAAACAAGAAAAGCAATTTTAAAATCAAAAGCAGTTTTAAAATCATCAGCAATTTTATTTGCTTTTATTTTAGGGTTTTATTTGTTCTTATGCTATGTAAGATAATGAAAGATTTTTTTTACTTCAGTTTTTTAATTGAACATTAGTATATTATAACAAAATGAATTGATTGATGAATGAATGACTTTGGGCAATAAAATATGAATAAGAGTTCTGTGTATAATATTATTTCTCAGGTAAATGACTTGATTTATGCATTTATATTGATATCTTAAGTAAAGAACTTTCCAAAAATAAGTAAATATCAATATGAAATAAAATTGTAAAATACAAGTGAAAAGAAGTTTAAACAAACCAAAGAGAAAATAATAATTTTGTTGAACTACCTTTGATGCAACTGTATTTATTTAATTAGTTAAATTATAAATGTATAAATTCAGCAAGTATAATTTTGTTCACAATTTAACAGCATTTACTTAAATCATAATATTTTTAGTTTTGAAACCTTTTATTTTTAAATTTTAAAAAACTTTATATAAGTTGTATTTGAACTTATTTATTATTGATGAATTAAAAATATCACGCAGCAATGCATTTCATACTTTTGCTTAGCAGTTCAATAAGAAATTGTCTCGTAGTAAGTAAGAAATTATTTCTCTTTTTATTTCTTTTTATGACTATGTGTAATTGGCTCTTACACTTTCATAGACTTATTTATAAGTTCAATTTCTTGAAATTTATTTATTATCTTAAATACTTGTAATTTTGTTCTCTTCTTGTTTCAAAGGTCTTTAATTCTACTTTTAGTATTTTTTTGTAGTCAAATTTTCTTAAAAATGGTACAAAAGAAATCTCAAAAGTTAATAAGTTTTATCATACAATATTGCCTTTACTCAGGGTTGTTCATGCACTTTTTTAATAAATTCAACAATAAACTTTTGTAAAATTTTATCAAAAAAGATTTTTTTTAATTTTAATTTTTATTTTGATTCTCTCTCAAAAAGGCAACCTGCAAGCAACCACTGTTAAGTTAGGAAAATAAAAGAATAGAGTTATAGAGCAAAGAAACGACAAAAGACTTCGAAAGTTGTAGGTTGCATTATTAAGGAAAACATGAAGATGGGAAGAAAGTTCCAAAAGGTTGAAGTGCAGGGAAATAAAGCTAAATAAAAGTCTTTAGAGTATGCAGGGATAGAAATGAATAAGACTTTGCTGAATGACAAGTCATGCGAAAATAATTTTTAGTTGATGGAACTAAAGATGATCCTTTGAGCAGCAATCATGATAGTGTTTGTAAAAAAGAAAAAGAGATGCAACTTTACGATGATGGGAGAGTGGCTCAAAATTAACAGATAGAGCGGGTCCAACTCTGTTTACAATTTGTTTTTGGACCTCGTCTAGAAGAGAAAGAGCATAATACGGAGAACCAGCCCAAATATGGTAACAGTATTATAAAGGGACAAATAAGAGATTTATAGAAATAGAGAATTAAATCAGGAGTAAGAAAATGGCAAGCTCAATAAGTAGAAGCAACTTTAGCAGATGCTAATTTATATGTTTATTTGATTGTATATATGGTTCCCATGAAAGGTCAGTAGTAAACAATAATCAGTAGTAAACAATAAGATGAAAAAAAAACTCAGTGTGAGGCTTGCATTATATAATATAGGAATGTTGACAGTGTTGTGGTAGTTGTTTGCAGTAAATAACTGAGTTTTGTAGAAGATTAAATTTACAAGCCACTGCAAACCAATCTGTCACAGAAATGAAATCAGATTCAAGATCTGCTGCCTGTTCTATGCGATTGAAAAGAGAATACTTTTTGTCAAGACAGAAGTATAAAGTTGAGTTGTCAGCAAAAAGAGCTACTTTAGATGTTAGGTTGTCAGGAAGATCATTAATGTAAATAAGAAATAAAACAGGACCAAGAATAGAACCTTGAGGTACCCCAGAAGTTACTGGAAATGAAGAAAAGTGTTGACCTTTGAGGATGACTTTATTAAAGTGTTTAGAAAGAAATGATTTGATAATCTCAAAAACTTTTCCAGATACACCATATTAAACAAGCTTGTAGAGAAAACCAGCATGCCAAACTTTTTTGAAAGCAGTTAGATATATCAAGAGCATTAGCCCTAGCCTCTCCATCTAATGCACAATAAAATCTTTTCAGTCACAGTTAGCAAGTCAGCCATAGAGTGAGCAGATCAAAAGCCATATTAATTGCCTGACAGTAAGTTATTTGACTCAAGATGGGATGTGAGAAATTTGTTTATCAAAGACAAAGACCTTTCTAATAACAGAAAGAAGACTGATCTGATGATAATTGGAGATGTCAGAATGTTTTCCTGAGTTTTTGAAAATTGCAATGACAGATGTCATTTTCCAGTAGGCAGGAAAACAAAGTTCAGTCAAATACTTATTAAATAGGTTAAAGAGAATTGAAGACAGTTCTGGAGAACTATTTTATAAGACTATGACAGAAATGTTGTCTGGACCACAAGCTGTAGAGGAGTTTAATTGAGAAATGACTTTAGCAATGGAAGCTGGAGTGATTTAAATATCTAACGATGGGTTAACCTGTTTAATTGAAATGGAAGGAAGAGAATGGCCATAAGATTCAAGAGTTGAGTTAGAAGAAAAGTTCTTTGCAAACAATTGTACCTTATCCTTGGGAGAGGTAACAAGATCAGTCCCATGAAAGATGGAATGTTAGACCTACCCTTGTTAATGACACTGTTGAAGATTTTCCAAAAGTCTCTAGAGCCTAACTTCTGAGAAAAGTCTCAGTTCTCAGAGCTGAACCATTCAAGTGGAAGCACATAAAAGAATGGTCAAAGGATTTGAACTTGATTTTGTAACAACTAGGTGAATTAATGCGTATGTATACCCCAAGCCAAACATGTAACTATTAGAGTCTTTGCCTAATCAAAGGATAGTACCCATCAACACTGAGATCCGAAGAAAGAATAGAATTTATATTAGTCTCACTAAGAGCAAGCATATCTGGTGAATTTTGCAGGAGGTAAGATTCAACTGATGGAAAGTTGCTTCAAAGACCATGAAAATTTGTATAAGATATATTAAAGCAGTTTTGTGGTGGGAACGGTATTTTGTGTTAAATATTTTGTGTTACTTTTTGCATGATGTAAATTTAAAGAGAGCCTGACTTGTTCATAGATAGAATCGGGCCTTATATTCAATGAGCTAGGCAGTTTTCTCAGTCCTGTTAACTAACCCTAAGTCATAGCATAGGGCTTCTTATGTGGCCTTGATAATGCACACCAAAAATATTAACAAGGACACCACCCATGCCCAACATGACACTGTTAATACTCTGATGTCTTGCAGCTGTTGATAGAATCAGGCTCTTTGTGAACTACCACAGAGTTTGGGAAACCTTACTACTATAGAATCAATATCTTACTTTGTTTGTATCAAATTTGATACAAATTTGATTTATTGAATGTTCAGTTTTTGATTTTTATTGAAGTTTTTTAAATTTATAATAAAATGAACATCAACCTGCTCAGTGTAGTTAAGGCGATTTACAAAATATTTAAATACTTTTATTTGGAATTAGCATGGTTTTGTCAGCATATTATGCCCAAACAAGATCTTTAAATGTTATAATTTTTTTTACTTAAGGTTTTTGTAATATTTAAAGAAACTTTTCTTTTTTATATATAATTTTCAAAATCTTTTTACTACCTGTAATAATGTATCTAAAGAACACTATTTTGGAGTCTTTAGATCAATTCCGCTTATCGGCATTAACATGAATTTAGTTTAAATCTTTTAAAAAAGTTTCTTAATTTACTACTGATTCTAGTTCTAATCGGTTCTGACTTATATTAACTATATATAGTTGTCAAAACACAATATTTCTATCAATTTTCACAAAAAATACTGAAATTCCGACCAAGAAAGAGCTTATAATTATAAAAAATTGCCATTAAACGATCAGAACAGGTCATATTGTTAAACTATAATGTTCATTTCACCTAAAAAATGTATTAATGTAAAATCTTATTTAAATTTGGACGAGCAATTGTGATTTTAAGATTTTTTTTTTTTTTTAATTTTTCATGGTCTGGGTTTTTTCGCTACAAACATTTTTATTTTATGATAATGCAAAATTTATTATTTTAATTTTTTTCGTCTTTTCATAATTCACAGACCAGACCATTTAACGGAAATATGTCGTAGTCAACAAAATATCATACAGACTTTATAATATTTTAAAAGTGCCTTAACTACACCGAGTGGGACTAAAAAGTTTATAATAAAAAAACATCAACCTGGGATCAAAATTAAAAAAAAAAAAAAATGCATTAGAAAATTGTCCTGACTATGAAAATTGTCCTGACCAGTGTACAACTTAAGGTCTAAGTTTAAAAAAAAATTTAAAATCTAGGCTCTCAGTTTCTACTGTATGTATAATATATATGTAAATTCTACTGTATATATAATATATTTATTATATATAAATTATATTAAAAATATGTATATATAATATATTTATTATATATAAATTATATTAAAAATATGTATATATAATATATTTATTATATATAAATTATATTATATTAGAAATTATATATAAGTATATATAATATATTTATTTTGCTAAAAAGTTTAAGAAATATTTTTTCAATTTTTTTTTAAAATAAAGCTTTAAATGATAAAAAATAAAATAAAATTTGATTATTTTTTAGATTCATCACTCTTGCTAGATGAGCTGAAGTTTGGTTTCGTAGAATTTGGTATTTCTGGTCATGTGAAAGCCATTGCTAATGAAGAAAAAATATTACCTCATTCTACAGTAAGTTGTGGTCTAGTTTTCACTTATATTTCCATAATAATTAGCATAGATATCTCTCAAAGTTTAATTAAGTCATTAAATTATGATTAAAAACCATTTAATAATGATATATAACGGGTTATAACTAAAAAACGGTAATACTTTTGAAAAGGCATAATTCTCTTCATACATTCAATTTATTTGCATATTAATTTTTTTTAATCAAACCATCGCGTCTTACATAATCTAAATGGCGCTGAGTTGACTCAGAAAGGTGCCGTACAAGAGTTTTTCCATTTTAGAAAGACAATACTTTATTCTGTGTGCAATATCTTGAGATTATCAGCTTTCCAATTATTTTCACACACTTTTTTTTTGAGAAAACTCCAAAAATCCTCAATCACATGACATTTAGGCACATTTGCAGGGCTATCTTCTCTTTTGACAAAAATGATCTTTTTCTCATTTGTGTAGTTCTGTATAGATTTTATGTGATTATTCCAAAATATGTATTCGCCATCAGAATGATACTTTTTGATAAATGGAATTAGTTTCTTCTTGATACAACCATTTTTGTAGACTTCTTGGTTGATTGCAAAGCCACTTTCTCTAAATATTTGTGAAGATATTTCTTTATCGGAAAAGCAAATCCAATTGAGTAATTTCTTCTCATATTTTGCTGTGGGGTTGAATTTGACACTTGTTGGTATTTGAGAAACATCACTTGAATGATAAATATCATTTCTATTATTCGAGGAATAGTTAAATGTGAAGTACGACTCGTTGTCAAGGATTAACAATTTATTGGCAGAAATTCGATACAGCTGTCCGCATTTCGTTCAAACTGTCTCTACTTGGTCACAAGTTCTTAATGGAATCTTCTTCTTCTTCTTTATCCTGATTAAGGACTTTGCTTTTAATGTTTTGCTGATATATATTTGGGTGCACTTAAATTTCCGAGCTGCTTGTGTTGCGTTATGCCATCTTTGTGATCAAACATTGTTTTAAGTCTTTCAATGTTCCTTTTTGTTATCATTTTAGCTATCCTACCACTTCCTAGAACTCTTCGGAGCCGTAGTAATTTTTTTCAGCGCGTATGTATATATATATATATATATGTATAAAATATTTCGTTTATTGTTTATTTTGTTGACAAATTTTTTTACTTTTTACTTACTAAAACTACGTGATTTTCACAACTTTAAGTTTCATGCTGTTGCAATCATCAGGTGAAATACAAATATAGTTTGTTCGTTTAAAAATTGTATATAATTTTTTAAATGAACAAACTATATTTGTATTTCACTTGATGATTGCAACAGCATAAAACTTAAAGTTGTATATACATATATATATATATATATATATATATATATATATATATTATATATATATATATATATATATATACAGACACACATATAAATAGACACACACACACACACACATATATATATATATATATATATATATATATATATATATATATATATATATATATATATATATATATATATATATATATATATATATATATATGTATATCTTCTATAGCTTGTTTAGATAAGCATTTTCTCACTAGCTTTGCTTATCTTTATAGCATAACCACGCTTTTAGAAAAACAAAAAAAAACAAACAAAGAATAATGAAAGAAAAACTGCTGCCCCATCTCAAACCCTCAGTCGATGCAACAGCTTTCCTCTGTGAGTCAGACTATTTGTCAGTCGATGTATGTACTGAAGACTCTGGCAGCAGGCTTTTTCAGTATGATGTTCAAGTTTAACAAGTTTTATTAAAAAAAAATCATTTTTTTTTTAATTTATTCATTTGTTTTTTCTCAAATTCATTCAAAAATAGCAAGTTTTAATTCATTTAAAAGTTTATAAATTTTTCAAAAGTTTGTTGTTCTAACACTATTTTATTTGATATTATAGTGCCATTATTGTTTTAAAATCTAATATTATTTTACTTTATTATTTAAAACTTTAAACATAGCCGTAATATTTAAGCCATAATATTTAAGTGCATAGCCGCACTTAATTAGCAACAAAAACATTTGCACGCGGAACATCAGTTATAAAAAAGAATAACTTTTCAGACCAAACTATTATTTTTATTATTATTAAAGATTACAATTTAAACTTTAATATTTTAATTCATTTTAAAACATTAGATAAAACTAGAAAAATAAAGCACAATAAAGTACAATATAATTATTATAAAACAACAGCTTAATGCAACAGTCTAAAGGAATTTAGCGGTGATCAAATATTTTAAATAAAAGAAATCGTTAAATAAGATATAAAATACTTTTATATCTTATTTAAATCTTATTCAATATTTTCTTATAAATTATATTCTTGTAGCTCTTTGGCAGATATATATAAAAAATTAAAAGACAGAGGAGTTTAAAAATATATAAAAACTAATTTAAACTTTTTATAGCTATTTTAAAACAAACAAAAAAAAACTCTGATAACTTATTTTAAAATATATATTTTTTATTATTATTTTTATTATTAAATAATTAATTTCTAATTGAAAACATTTAAATTTTGAAATGAACTGAGACTTGAAAATTCCTTTAACTTTCCCCCTAAATAAAAATCTATATTAATGTTTCATACAATGTGCAAATAGCTTTAGACTAATTTTTAATTGGTTGATTTTTTATACAATGTTCCATACAATGCGTAAGTAGCTTTAGCTTAGTTTTTTATTGGTTGATTTTTAAATTATTTTTCAGACTATTAGTAATAATAATTTTTGTCTTACAACTTTTTTTTTCTTAAATTTATAATTTCTAAATTGCCTGGTGTTTAAAAAAGCAGTAATTAAAAATATGTTAGTTTTGACTGTTATTATTTTTGCTGTAGTAAATTTGTTGTTTATTTTTTTCATTGATTTTTGCAATATGATAAATTGACCGTTTTGTTAAAACTGTGTTCACGGTTTTCAATAAACTTAGAATTTAATGACCAGAAATATTTCCAGATATTGAAATTTACGATCACTTAATTCCAGCCCTATATATATATATATATATATATATATATATATATATATATATATATATATATATATATATATATATATATATATATATATATATATATATATATATATATATATATATATATATATATATATATATATATATATATATATATATATATATATATATATATATATATATACATATATATATATATATATATATATATATATATATATATATATATATATATATATATACATATATATATATATATATATATATATATATATATATATATATATATATATATATATATATATTATTGTTATTATTATCATTACATTTTATGTATATAATGACTTATACTCTTTTGTATAATGAGATTATCATTTTAATATTATCATTTTTAATGTTGTATTTGTTATCACACTTGATTTTATATAGAATGTCATCACAAAGCGTTATATAGTCATCAAATTTCTAAGCATTGCATATGCTATTATGCTTATAAAATATAAGATAATTTTTAATAGGTAAATAAAATAAAACGTTTATGTAACTGGTCCCACCCTAGCTCTCCAGTCCGAAAGTAAAATAAATAAAGTTAAAAACTTCTTTTCAATTAAATGTCAATTATTCAGTTTATATATTTCTATATATCACTTTGTGTGTTTATGATTATTTTTTTATTTTCTACTTTTATATAGCTTCCAATCGGTGTTCCTCCATTACTTCCAGATTTAAAATATGAACTTGAAACATTTTTATTATCACCACTTGATTTGCCAATTCATGCCTTCCAAAATCATCAAAGGTATTTAATTACAATTATCTTACAAGATTATGTTATTAGATTTGTTAATAACTAACTAACTATGTATATATATATATATATATATATATATATATATATATATATATATATATATATATATATATATATATATATATATATATATATATATATATATATATATATATATATATATATATATATATATATATATATATTATATGTCAGATAAACAAAAAAAAATCACCAATTTCAAAATTTACTTCTACTAAGCTTAAAAAAAAAGTACAACTAAGACTAAGGTTTTAAAAAGTGTTTGTTGTTTCAGAAAATATTTTGTAGAATCTGCGGTAAAAAATTTCAGCATTTCCATCAAATGAATTAGTTACATTTTTACTAGAGACTTAGCAGTAATGACTTCTTGAAATAGCTGAATTATTTACCCTTTATTTAAAAGTTTTAATTAATTAAAACTATTTACCCTTTATTAAAGTTTTAATTTTTTAAGTATCATTTATCTGCAAGCTTTTCTACAATCTGAACTAATTAATTTTGAAACCTAATAATATAAAAAATTGTTTATTAGTAATCTTGTCCTTGTGTTTGGTCTTGAGGTGATGAGTCACCTTGCATATACATCGTTTTTTGCAAAACAAACTCATCAATATACTTTTTTCACTTTGGTTAGGATGAATTAAATTAGGTATTTTAACTAAAATTGAAGTCTATATCAACTCAATAGGAGCTAAAACAGCATTGAGTTCATTCAATTATCAAAGTCTGCGCTAGAAAAAGTCATTTAAAAAATATTTGATATACTCTCAGTCTGGTCACCCTATAAAGTTCAAGTAATTTTACAAAATCTATAGAAAATTTTTCATGTTTCCAGCCTAGTTAAGTTCTATGACTATGGTTTAATGTACCTATATATGGGGCACTTACTGTTATATATAACTCTTTTGTCCCACTTAACTGTGGGGCATACTTTGAAGCTAAATGATCAAAATGATTAGAAGATAAAACATGTATTCATAAATTTTATTTTAGTTCAAATCTCATGATTGCTCTCAGTACTATAAATGTTCATGCGTTTTAAATGTATAAAATTTTACCATAGCTTCACAAAAGTGTTTTCATTTAAAGTTTTATTTTAAAAAGGTCTTGGCTACGTGAAAAAAATTTGGACAATATGTTTGATGCTGTAATGCTTCCTCACCCTACAGATATTTGTATGGAACGAGATCCTAAAACTGGAAAGCTCAAAGGATACCAAGAGGTGTGTTTTTAATTTTTTTTTTTTTTAATTTTTATTAATCTTTTACTATGGAGATGAAACTTTTTTATGTTCTAAAGTGAAACTCTTGTAAGTATTCCAATTTATATAAAAATTATTTTTTTTTGCAAAAAAAAATGTTTTTTTCTTTGTAACTATACACGCAAATTACAAAAATGTTAAATTACAAAACCATGGTCATTTTTTATATATTTGCAAGTAAAAATGTAAAAAGTAATCATGTTTTTGTACTTTTGTACTCAAATAAGAAATCAATTAACAAAATTGATATATATATATATATATATATATATATATATATATATATATATATATATATATATATATATATATATATATATATATATATATATATATATATATATATAATAAAATTATAATGAACAATAATAAAATAAAATTCTATAAAATGAACAAATTACATAAAATATGGAACTATCAAGTAAAATGAACAAATTATATATATTCATAACAGTTAATAAATAATATAACAAAATACGTAAAAAATATTTATTTTTAACAAGTTAACAAAAATTTATTAATTAAAAAATATAACAATTTTCAATTTTGTTTTTCTAACTTTTTTATATCAGCCGCCCTTATGATTAAGCTTGACTTTTTTTGGGGGCAAGGTTCATAATAAATAGTAAGAATTTTAAATTTAAAATAAATTCAATTATGTTTAGTGGTCGCAGATTTTAATTCAAGTTTCAAAGTTGATGCAATTTGAAAAAATTGGTAATGCTTCATATTGACATGTGACAAAATTTCTCTATAATCAGAAGAAATTTGTAATTACTTGTAAACTAAAAGAGAAGCTGCAAATGAAAAAGTTAAATCAGCAATGACATTATTTGATGAGTTTAAAAGCCTGCTGAAAATAGACCATACCCATAGAAGCAATGAGAAGAATACCCAAAAAAATTGGGTTTAAAGACAACTTTACAAAAACAATGAGGTTCTGGCCATGAGATCAATACAAGTTTGTATTAAAAATGATCAATACAAGTTTGTATTGAAAATAATCAATACAAGTTTGTATTAAAAATGATGTACATCCGAGTTTATTTACATCATGATGTAAATAAACTTAGATGTAGTTATGAAACTAAGCAACGTTTTCACAAAAAAACCTTGAAAACTGGCACAACTGTGTTTATACCACATAATATTCTGAAATCATCTAAAGTTATTTAAATGATTAAATTTTAAATTATCTTTTAACGGGAATGTAAAGAACTAAGGTGTATTCAACTTTAGGTTACAAAGCTTTGAAAAGTTATTTAGTAAAATATTATTTAATTTTTAAAACTAAACTAACATCATATTATAAGCTATAAAATAATGACTTCATTGTTTAGTTTTTAGATTTAAGAAAGACTTTAAGCATCTAATTTGCCAAACTGTTAAAGATCTTGATATCCCTCAAATTTCAGTCTTTGATAAACAAAAAAAAATCTCATTATCAATCTTTGCCAATATGTTAAAATTTTAACAGAGGTGATTATAGTGAACTCATTCTATTAACATTTGTTATATATTTAATAGATCAGGCGCTTTAAGGCATCAGGAAAAATAAAAAATATGTTCCAGAGCTAGCTATGTTGTAGAAAATAATAGAAGTATGTTAAGTAATTAAAGAAAAAAAGGACCAATCAGATAGTAGATTAAATTCTAACCCAATTGTTTCCTCTTCTAATTTTGGATTTAATAGAGTTGCTTTTTTATATTGTATACACATTAGATTTTCTTAAACTGTACACACATTTATTTGCTAATATAGTATCAGCTTTTGTTTTGAAATTTGAATTTACTTTATATTTCAAATTCAATGTTAAAGATTGATGTGTGGTGTAACTTTAGCAAGGCATTTGGATTATGAAGTTAAATGAAAGGTTAAGTTGACTTTGGGCTTTAACTTTACTGCTGAGTTTGAAATTTGGCTCTCAGTTAAATTTGGTAACAATTGCAAAATTTCATTTACCTTTTAGTTAAATTTGATGGTTGAAAATTTTTTTTCTCAGTTAAACTTGATTAAATTTATCTATAAATGTTGTTAATTCTCTTTTGTAAAAGTTCTTTTTAAAACTTCATTAGTTCTAAAGATTGCATAACTTGATTTCTCATTATTTCTTCATTTTTAATTTTTGTCTTAAACACACGATGTTCTTCTTTTTCATTATGTTTTGAAATATAGTTAATTTTGAGCATGATATTTATAAATAATAATTTTAGTTTACAAAAAATGATTATTCGAAAATGTACATTCAGTTAAATTCCATATAAAAGTCCAAATTTGTCTTTTAGTTAAATTTGGGCTACATATATGATCTAATTTGTTATAAATTCCAGTTAAATTTAGGTTTTAAAAAGTGAACTTGGTTGGTCCTTAATATAGCACTATTAACTGCATAGCTCATTGCTTGTGGTAACTGCATAGCTCATTGCTTGTGATAACTGCATAACTCATTGCTTGTGGTGCCACTATCTATGATTGAGTCAACCATCTTTAACTTAAAACATGACCTAAGTAACCAAAAATATTAAACATAAAGTCTATCACCACATTTGTAGAAGTTAAATTTCAGTTTACCTTCTACAAATATTTGTGGTCTTTGAAGTCACATTTTTTTTTAAATGTACAATGGTGTAATCGGTTTTACACTGTTTTTTTTTTAATTATAAAAGCAAATTTTTATTATTGCTGTATACATCCAACATAACTTACAGAATCAATTACTAGAATTATATTTGTAAACTAAAGAAAATTTTTCATACTTAAGCTAAAGTAAAAATTTATTTTTTTCATTAATTACTAAACATTAATTTTTATCAATGTACAATAGCATTAGTATCTTACTTTAGTTTGAATCTAATGAACTTGGATCATCTTTTTCTAAGCTTCTTTTTTTGTTTCCAATCCTTTTTTGTGGTAACTCAATAAACTACTATTATCTAAGTGTGGACATTTTAACAAATTTCTGCTGTCCTCTTTTGATATCAGAGGCTAAATAGTTATGTCTTTTATTACATCAGAAGTTGTTCTACTGTAATTTTAATTCATTTGTAAACAAGATTTTTTTTAAATGGTTTTTTCTAACGGTTTTTTATGTATTTAATAGCTGATGATTGCTGTGTACGGAACGAAACTTTTAGTACTATTAATTTTTTCATTTAAATATTGCTCTATTATTGTAATATTGAGCACTGTAGACTATGTATGTATGTATGTATGTATGTATGTATGTATGTATGTATGTATGTATGTATGTATGTATGTATGTATGTATGTATGTATGTATGTATGTATGTATGTATGTATGTATGTATGTATGTATGTATGTATGTATGTGTGTATGTATGTATGTATGTATGTATTTATGTATGTATGTAATGTATGTGTATATGTATGTATTTATGTAGCTTAATTAGCATATGCAAAAAGTTACCTAGTAATATACATTAATGATATCTGCTGTTCAAATTTTTTCAGGTTTTATGTCATGATGTTGGTCTAACTGCTCAAAATTCAATGTCAATGAATAGAAAACCTGGTCCTTTAACTGATTCAGTTAAAGGTGAATCTTCAAATAAACCTTTTTGGCCTGGTAAAGTATATTTTAAAGCTAATTTTTTATATTTAAGTAGGTGAGTATGGTAATCTTTGATATGATTCAATTCTAAATTCTAAATTAGAAATCCTATTACAGATTCACATACTTTTAAATATAATTTGTTGATGCCCTTGAAAGTGCCTATGTATTTTTTTTTGTATCTTTATCTTGATATTTTGCTGCTTGTTTGTACTTTTTTTTTTACTTTGCTTTAAAGTCTTTTGCATTGTGAATTTTGATAATTTGTATTATGAACAATTTTTAATTAGTATTTAGTAATGGAATGAATGAGCGCATACAGACTGACTTGTGAGAACATGGAAGGAGTGTATATACATCAAGGTAAAGAATAGGGTTGGTATTAAGATTGCTATCCCTAATCCAGTTAATGTATGTACATCATTTTTGAAACACTGTGTTTTGCAGACAGATGACCAGTATTTGGAGACAAATATTTGGTTATTTAACTTTGAAACTGGTGTTTAAATCAGTCAATGAGGTGCACAAAAGTTATAAGTTTTAACAAATCTTACTATTTCTTAATTTTACTAAATTTATTACTTTCTTTTTAGCATTATTGATGGAATTTCTAAAATTCTAATATGCAGTGATTCATTGCCATGATTGTTGATTTGTCAACAATCAATGTTGACAAATCAACAATAATGTATGACAATAAATCAAAAATTAAAATTTTTACTTTTATTTCATTATGAAGTATTTAAATATATTGCCTTGGGAATAATAATTGTTTTGCCAACTTAATTGTTTCGATTTGTTGCATTAAAAAAAAATTGGATATGTCCTTTTAGAAATTCTCATTTAAAGGATGGTTTACTAACTCTTTTGGTTTATTCTTTTGCAATTTTATCACAATAAAAATCATGTTGTTAATGTTTTAATTATAAACTTAATTTGTTTTAAAAAAGAAACCATGTGTTAGAGTTTCAGTGTTCATATAATTTTTTATTTTAAATCAGACCTTTTTGCTTTTATATGATTATAAATCAGCATAAGGTATCTATCATAATCGTCATACAAATATTATTATTAAACATTTTAATTATTTAATTATAAATTTTTTTGCAGTATGTTGTCCATCTTTCCAGCAAAAAAAGTTTTATTATGAAGTCTGTTAAAAAAAAAAAGTTTTATTATGAAGTCTGTTAAAAAAAAAAAGGATAAATTCCTACAGAAATTGTTCCTGTAGTGAAAGGATGAATTTTGAACAAAAATCAAACTGGCAGATATTAGCTATTAGGAGTAAAGGCTGCATTTGACAGAGTTTAAAACAAATGATGTTGCCAAGTGGTGAAGTTGGTAGCGATGAATATTATTATTGGTTTTGAGGTCTACTTGTACCTTCCCATTTATTTTTTATATTACTCATGCTTTATACTTCCCCGTTCATGTTTTATATTGCTCAACCTCATACCTACCCATTCATGTGATACAGTTTTTATGTTTTAAACAAAATACAATCTTTTTGTTTGTAGGTGTAGTAATGAAAAAATCTAGTTTTGTTTATGCTAAAGTATAAATTTTTAACAATTTGTTTACAATAAAATGTAAATTATGTACTTTTAACAGGTGGCGTGTTCTTCTCTGAAGCTCTTTTGAAAACAGTTACACAACCTAACAGTGACGAAATATTTGAAGTAAAAAAAGGTAATTCTATGTGTTCACAATTAAAAAAAAATATTTTTTAAATATTTTTAATTATAAAGTTTGTTTTTAGAAAATTACTTAACAAGACCACCAGGATTTTCATTTGATATTTCATTTGATAACATTGAGAGGGTTAGTCTAGCTGGTATATTTTACTTGTCAATATTTCTTTTTTATATTTTTTACAGAGTATGAATTTAATAATATAACCTTATCAACAACTTGAATAGATTTTATGAATCTTGCTTTATATGTTTAAATTATTGGTTTGAGCAATGTTTAAGCTCATTAAAAATTTTAATAGTAAAAATTAATCTTTAATTAAATCTTTAATTCATTTTTTTTTTTAATTCTTTTTTTTTACGTTAACTTAACTTAGCTGACTACATCAAAAACTTGAACAGCCTTTAACTTTTTTTTTGTATCAAAATTTTTATAAGAAAAATGAAAGGCATTACTGACAACAGTATGGCAAACTTTTTCGATTCATCTTTTATTTTTCAGATTCCTCAACTAATGCAAATACAATAAGTATTAATGATATAATTTCTAACGATATCGATTTGACATCTTTATACATCAATATTGATGATGATGAGCAAGTAGTTGAAGCCCAAGAAAGCCCTGTTGATGTTGCATTATTGGTGACGGATGATATATCTTCTCAACTTTTACAGGTAGTTTTTTTATTTATAGTTTCATGTTGACAACACAATTTTGTCAAACCTCAGGTTTAGCTATATATGGGACATTAATAATAGAGGAAACCACCTAGCAGAAATGGAACCAAATAAGGCATATGGCTTGTCACAAAAAAATGTTTTGAATAATATTTTTTTTTAATAATAAATGAAATTCAATTAAATAAAGGGGTATTGTTTGTTTTTGTTAGGGTTTTTAGAGCTCCCACCAAATCTAGAAAGTCATGTAGTTAAAAAAAGTCCTGGATTTATGCAGTTACTTTATAAAATCTTGGAAAAGTCCTACAAGTTTGAATAGTATTTGTCAATTTCATTTTTGATCTTTTGATCAATGACTTGTTTTAAGTCATTGAGGCGTAATGAGATTACTTTAAAGTTAATGTATTAAAACAACTAGAAAAGGGTAAAGATGCAGCAAACCAATTTTTTCCAGTAGTTTCTATGCTACTTGGAAAAAAAAACTTTTTTAAATTTTTATTCAATTTGTTTATGAATGTCAAATGAACTTTCCATTGATGATTACAAATACAATTAAAAATACAGATAGAATACAAGATTCAGTTTTAAGCATTCCAATGGTTTTAGACAATATTAATTAAAAATATTTGCTTAGTTTTAAGAACAAGTATTTATCATTAATTGTATTTTTTTATAGATTTCTTTTTTATAGAAATTTAATTTATTTATTTATTGCTTACATTAATGTATGCGGATGTATGTGAACTTTAGAACATTTGAAAGTTATGTGTTGCTATCCATGACAGGTTGTTTTATAAATGATAAATTAAGCATAATTAATAATAATTTTTATCTTGTCAAGTTATGGAGTTTATAACCTTTGAGTACTTTCAAAATAGTAGTACTTTTAAAATAGGTCATAAAGTTTAAGATAATTTGGAAATAAAAAAGAAAATTTTAGTTGATCATTAGCTTCACTTATAAGGTAGCTAATGGTATGCTGAGATTTAAATCTCGTAAAGGGTCACCCATAAATTACGTCATGTAATTTTTGATCATTTTTAACCCCTCCCCCTTGTCACAACCTCTCCTCCCCCCTTCCTTCTAGAGCATAGTTTAAGGACGATATTTTATAGATATAATTTATTGACGACATGACAAAAAAAAATTGAATGAAATTGAAAAAAGCAAATTCTTTATTAAAAGTGACTCAAACATTTATATCACTAAAGGATTTCCTATTAAAAAAAACATTTATTACTGCAGTCATGGTCATGGTCAAGTCATGGCCTTATAATTTTTGTGGGTATTAAATTTAAAAGAATTTTAAGTTAATTAAAAGCAGTATAATTACAGGTTGAAGATGATTTCCCTTCAAAGAGAGTTAAAGATGAAGAGAAGAAATGGGCAACCCTAGATGATTTCACAGATGTAAAGGATTTCCATAGACTAGTAATTGATATGGCATTCAAAGTAAGTATGAATCAAACAATTTATCCATTTTAATAGTGTATGATAGTTTGATAATATATTATAAAGTTTTTATTATTTAGTTTTATACATAATATTCTATACTACATTATACCAAATGTGTATATTACATTATGTGTACATTATACCAAATGTGTATATTATATACACATAAAAAATAAATCTGTTGATATTATATACAATGAAGAAAATTAAAATATAAGAATGTTTTTGTTTTTAGTTTCCTTTTGAGTTAGATGTGTTTCAAAAGCGAGCTATACTTCATCTTGAGAAGCATGAAAACATTTTGGTGGCTGCTCATACATCTGCTGGAAAAACAGTAGTTGCAGAATATGCAATTGCATTGGCACAGAAACATATGAGAAAGTAGATAGCGTTTTCTATACTCGAATTTTTTAAGGTTAATGTCCATGCAAAATTTCCACCCAAAGTTTACAAGCACCTACTACCCTTAGGGATAAGAGGAGAAAAGGGATTTTATATCAGAGTTTTCCTTCTCTTCTGTAAGTTGCATTCACCACAACAAAGATGTCTTGCCCCAAAGTATTATCAAATTTTAAATGTTTTCCAATTTAGAAATTAATTTAACATCAGTTATTTATTTTAGAGCTATCTACACTTCTCCTATAAAAGCTTTATCCAATCAGAAGTTCAGAGATTTTCGGGATACATTTCCTGAAGTAGGTTTGTTGACAGGTGATGTTCAAATCAAACCTGAAGCAACCTGTCTTATAATGACTACCGAAATTTTAAGGTAAGTTAGTTTCTCTATGTAGACATAAGTTAGCCTTTAATGCTATCCATTATTGCTTTGGTTTAAAATTTCTCTATGTAGACATAAATTTAATATTTTTCTATAATTTATTTACAACAGATCTATGTTGTACAATGGCTCAGATGTTATAAGAGATGTGGAATGGGTGATATTCGATGAAATTCACTATATAAATGATTTAGAGGTAAGATTTAGTTGAGCAGTTAAATTAAACTTCATTACTTGATAAAAATATTTTAAAAGTAATATACATTTAAGGCAACAATATGTATGGTTATGTGGTTAAGTATGTGATTATTAAAACAGATGTGCTTAGCTGATTGGTTACCTAGGACTTGCTTTTTTAGAAAAAGTCTAGGAGAGTTCAACTCTGACATAAAGTGCTCTCCTGCTTTGGGGTTCTTGGATGAGTAAAGACTAAATGTCTCTTTTCTACAAGTATTACCATATTGCTGCTTAAGTGAGTTATATCACCTTGTGGGATTTGTTATTTAGATAAGCTGCATCCTTTTACTGTAACTTTTACCTTTTACCTTCATGCTCAAAAGAGTTTTATCTAGTTTTTTTTTAATGTGACCATAGGTACTTTGGATTTCTCTCCAAAGCACCTATGCTCACTCAGTTTCTTCTCTTGTTTTCATGTTTACAGTTTTTCAAGTCCACACTTTTTTGCTCTTTAGCTCCCTCTTTTGGTTCCTGTTAATTCCCATATTAATTAGTGGTTGTTTGCAGCCTTGTTGGGAGTGAATTTGGTAAAAATACCTACTCTCTGCTAAAAAAATTTCATGACAAATGTTTTAGGGGTAAACAAAATGTATATTGCCTAGCATTGCATCTCTCCTTAACCTAATAGACTAGTATAGATTTAAACCTGTGTTTAAATATGTTATTGTTTCCTTCACATTTAGTAAGCAACGGGGGTTGATAATTGACTAGGGGCGGGACTGAGTTTGATAAACCGTAGCCGGATCTGGGGCAAGGATTATGGCTGGGGCTGCCTAAGTCTTGAAAAACCCTGCAAATAAAGTAAATATTTTATCTTGATTAAATTCACATTATGTTTATAAATACATATAGATTATATATATGTATATGTGTATATATATATATATATATATATATATATATATATATATATATATATATATATATATATATATATATATATATATATATATATATATATATATATATATATATATATATATATATATATATATATATATATATATATATGTATATATGTATATATTCTGTATATTGTATATTATATATATATATATATTTTTATGCATATACAAATATGTGTATATATTATATAAATACACAACCCTTGAAATTAGGAAAAATGAGGTCGGCAATAATTTGCGGTCCTCAATCTTTTAGAAGTTGGGCATATAGCTTTAAGTAACTAGTTCCAACTAATGTATATATATATATATATATATATATATATATATATATATATATATATATATATATATATATATATCAGTGAGGTATCCAGAAATAATTTGGGCATACCGGTCTAAAAATCCTGTCTACATTATCTACGTTAGAGGACCTTTTTTTTTTTTTTTTTTTTTCAACTCAAATTTAAATGCGATTATTCATATATAATATATAACTCACTAGTATTAGATTTTTTCTATCAAAAATTTAAATAATAACCAAAATAATGTTACATTTATTACAGAACGACGGCTTTAACTCCAACATCGATTCATCCCTAATCGCTACTTTTCATTTACTTACTATTTATAAATGATAATTAATACTATTTATTAAATTATTAAATTCAAAATATTAAATATTATTAACCAGAAATATAAAGAGTATGATTTCATAAACAAGCAATAACTATAACGTTTAATATTTGTATGACTCTTTGATATAAACTTGATAAGATTTATTACATAGCGTATTTAAAACAAGGTAAATTCAGAATTTCACTCAAAATTTCACTCAGAATTTCATTCAAAAATTAATAACTTTTTTTCTTGTTCTACTCTTATTATTCAAATCAAGTTTTTTGGCACGAATGTTAAAATGTTATTTTAATTATTTAAATAAATGTTATTTTAATTTTATGTTTTAAAAACTTTTATTTGTTTTATTATTTAAAGTATTTTTAATACAATTTTTACTGTTATTTAAAATGAAAAAGTTTAAAGCTCATCTAGTTTAATCGCTTCAAAAATTATGTTATGAAAACGTAACTGGAGGAGAAACTCAAATTAATATATTTTAAAAATGTTATTGAAAAATGCTAAGCGTTTCATATTTTAATCCAATCAAAATGTGTGTTTTACATTTAATCCAATTACAACATATTCTATATTTCATCAACGTGAATTCGAATTAAGCATTTTGGTTGGCTTAAAATACATTTATAATGTATTTTATAAGTCGTTTTTCAAATGTTGGTATTTCTGTAATCGTAACAAATGCTAATATAAAACTGTTTTAAATTGAGTTTGGGCTGAAATTTGGGGGCCCCTACCGGTATACCGGTATCAAAATCAGCTTGGATACGTCGCTGTATATATATATATATATATATATATATATATATATATATATATATATATATATATATATATATATATATATATATATATATATGATGATTTCTGAAAACAATAATACAACAGCAATGATAAAAAGTTATGGATATATTTTGTGTCATAAAATAAGAAAAGAAAGAGATAAAGTAAAAGGTGGCGGTGTAGGAATTATACTAAAACAATCAATTATGCACAAACAACTACCGAATAATCAGTTTCAATCCTTTGAACATGTATGTGTTAAAATTATGGTAGCGAAACTAATTCTAATTTGCATATATAGACTAATATTTGTTTCTCACACAACATTTCTGGACGAATTCATGGTTTTACTTGAAACAATAGTATCAACAGGTTTCACATTCATTATAGCTGGTGATGTAAATATACACTTAGATACTAAAGGACTATATAGCAAAAGGAATTACTAGATGCACTTAATCTTACACAAAATGTCAAAGAACCAACTCATAAAATGGGACACATATTAGATGTAGTAATTAGTAAGCCAGATGAAATATCAGTGAATATGCTAGCTGTGACAGACTTAGATTTGAGTGACCATTTCCTCATTAATTTTAAATTAGAACAAAAAATAGAAAAAAAAACACATACCACACTATCACATACAGGAATTTAATTTAATTAAGAAATAAATTGAAAATCTCATCTGCTGAAAATATGAAAGAGAAAATAACAACATATTATCAAGTAATGAAAGAAATTGTACAGAAACATGCTCCTTTGAAAACTAAAATAGTAAAAATAGTAAATACAGTTCTGTTGGTTTGACGGGGAATATATGCAACTAAGGCAAAAACAAAGAAAAGCAGAAATATTATTTAACAGAACTAAAATTGAAAGTGACAAAAGAGAATATATATGCCTCAGAAAAAAACAATATTTTGCTTATATAAAAAAAAGAACGTATTTCTCTAACCTATTACATAAAAACACCTCAAGTAAAAATCTATATTCAATAGTAAACAAGCTACTAGAAAAAATTCAGGAACATGTACTACCATCAGCGAATTCAGACGATGAACTGGCTAACAACTTCAACAGTTGCTTACTGAAAAAATCAGAAAACTCAGATAAAATATTATAACACCCCAAACAAAGAAAAGCACATCAGGTTATAATGGTCAGTTTTTAAGAAATTTTTATCCAACAACTTACAAAGAAATTTACAATATAGCCATGTCATTTGGAGTGAAATGTTTTCCAGATGACCCCATTCCAGCATATCTACTAAAGAATAATTTACAAACATTTATACATATATGGGTGGAGATAGTAAACCTATTGCTAGAATCAAGCAGCATGGATTCTCTGAAAAGTGCTACATTACTTCCAATAATAAAGAAATTAGACTCTGCCACCACAGATACGGAAAACCTCAAAAATTATAGACCAATTTAGTATTCATTAGCAAGCTAATAGAAAGTGTAGTTTCCAGTCGTCTAGATTCCCACATGACAACAAACAATCTTCATATAGAATATCAATATGGATACAAAAAACATCATTCCACTGAAACACTTTTGCTGAAGCTTACCAAAGATATATTTGAACTCTTTGATAAGAATACACCTTCAGTTCTAATGTTACTTGATCTAAGTGCTGCTTTTGACACTATTGATCAACAAAAACTACTTGGGCTATTAACTAGTGAAATAGGCATAATGGACTCAGCTCACAAGTGGTTTGAATCATTTTTAGTTAATCATACCCAAAATGTTAAAATTGGCAACTCATACTCTTCAAACCAAAATGTCCAATATGGAGCACCGCAAGTTACAGTACTGGGTCCAAAACTATTTAATATCTGTATGAAATCACTGTACAAACATCTGAACTTAATCAATGTTAAAACTTTTGGATACTCAGATGATCATCAAAATCTCAAAGCATTCCTTCCTTCTTTGCAATATAATGCATTAGTTCTGGACATACCAGAATGTCTTGGACACATATCTAAATGGATGAGCGAATCATTTTTATGCATTAACCAATCGAAAACAAAAATACTAATTATGGCCACCATCTAAAATTCAAAAAGATATTATTATTAAAGGTACTTTTGTTAACAAGGAAAGCATTAGATTTGTTGTCTCCATAAAAAATTTGGATGTGATACTTGACAATGAACTGTCTCTGAAAACACAGATAAATAAGATTGTGAAAAGTTGTTACAATATAATCCGCAAAATATCCAAAATAAAACAATTCTTATCGCATAAAAATTTGTGCACCATAGTATGTTCATTAATTTTTTCACAGCTAGATTATTGCAACTCCCTCTACTTTGGAATTGAGAGGTCACTATTAAAAAAACTGCAGTCTCTTCAAAATTGTGTAGCAAGACTAGTATTTAAAACCAAAATAGAAAATCAAATAAATGACCAGGTATTTATCAATTTGCATTGGCTTAAAATTAGAGAATTTAAATTAGAAATTTATTATTATTATTGATTATTAGAATTAAAATTAGAAATTTATTTCAAGGTTTTATTAATAATGCACAAGTCTATTATCCAGGAAGCGCCGGCATCATTGTGTAATTTGATTCACTTCTCAACATCAGAGAGAACTCTGAAATTAAAAGAAACAAAATCCAGCAATCGTTTTGGTGATTGGGCGGTATCCCACTATGGTCCTAGACTTTGTAATATTCTTCCAAGTATCATTCGAGATAAACAAAACACATCTATTCATAAGAAAAAACTAAAATCATATTTAATGGTGAATAGTGAACTATTCCACCAGAAAACTCTAGAATATTAAAAATTATAAAGTAATATAAATTATTGCTTACCCTTTATTTGGGCAAAACACAGTTGCTGTGGGTAAACCTTTGTATATTTATTTTATATATATATATATATATATATATATATATATATATATATATATATATATATATATATATATATATATATATATATATATATATATATATATATATATATATATATATATATATATATATATATATATATATATGTATATATAGCCATCAGCCCTAACTGCTGACCTAAAAGTATTTGAGATTGGCAAAAAATTGCAGACCTTGTTTCTATGTTTTATAGTTAGACCTTTGTATCAAATTTTTTTTGCCAGCCTGATGCCGACCTCTAAAAGTTTGAGGTTGGCAAGTTATTGCCGACCTCATTTTTCCTAATTCCGAGGATTGTATATAGTTATAAATTATAAATTATATATATATATATATATATATATATATATATATATATATATATATATATATATATATATATATAATACATATATATATATATATATATACATATATATATACGTGGGTGCATATATGTAAACATTAAAGATGATTTCTTTATATTATCATGTATAATAACGATTTCTTTGGGGTGGATTTTGTTTAATATGATATTTTAGTGAGTTGTTTTTATATCATATTAAACAAAATCCACCCCAAAAAAATCGTAAACGCAATACCATATGGTTTAACCCCCCATTCAACAAAAAAGTCTCCACTAACGTCGCAAAAATATTTTTGAAATTACTTGACGAAAATTTTCCTAAAACACACAAACTACATAAAGTCTTTAACAGAAACACTGTAAAAGTAAGCTACAGCTGTATTGAAAATATCGAAAAAATTATTAAAAACCATAACAAAAAAATTATTTTCCCAAAAAATGAAAATAATGACAAAAAATGCAATTGTCGAAAGGAAGCAGAATGCCCCATGAATGGAAAGTGTAAATCCACAAACGTTATATATAATTCGCAATTATATCCTATTCTAAACCTGATGAACTCCAAAATAAACGAAACGAAATCATATCAAAGTGCTGCCACGAAAACAAGTTTTTATTAAAAAACTACAAAGCTTGCTACAAACATAACTAACCACTAACATTAACTATGCAACCCTATTTCGTACACCTCTAAGCTAACCAATAAATTATTCACATACACAGCTTTTGTAATAAATTTCGTAATATAATTTATATTCTTATATCCACTTTTGAAACTTATTTTTATATTCATTTATTTTTAATACAATAATTTTTAAAAACAATTCACATTATTATTAAATCGTATTTTTATAACAAACATTAAAACATACAACAACTTCACATATATTAACCAAAAACAAATTAATAATAACATTAACCTTAACTACTAAACAGTTTCCGTCCCATAACGATCTAAAATACTAATATAAACCGTAAATTTTTTCTAAACACATTGTAGCAAAATTAACTTTTGACTACTTGCCTCATGATTGTGGTAACACATGAAACTTTAAGTCGCAATATAATATTATAAATATTAGCATTTAGCTAATTCCTGATACTGCGGGTAACAGTAATATATATACTATATATATATATATATATATATATATATATATATATATATATATATATATATATATATATATATATATATATATATATATATATATATATATATATATATATATATATATATATATTTTATATATATATATATATATATATATATATATATATATATATATATATATATATATATTTTATATATATATATATATATATATATATATATATATATCCCCTGCTAGAATTATTGTTTAGTTGGTCTCAGGTTGTAAAAAACTCCATATATGTCCGGGGTCACTTTCTTTTCACCATATGATAAATTTGATACTAAAATATAACAAAGTTCTTTTCAATTCTTCAACTTTAAAACACACAAAAAAAATGATTTTAGTACTACTAGTAAAATGTTGTGAATTAGGCTATGTAATTAAACAATAAGGTATGTTATATAAAAGCTTTTCAATTTTTTTTGTAGAGAGGTGTGGTTTATGAAGAAGTGCTGATTATGCTTCCTTCTCATGTGGGAATCATCTTGTTGTCTGCTACTGTTCCAAATACATTAGAGTTTGCTTCTTGGATAGGGTAAGAGTAGCAAAAAATTTGTTTTTCTATTTTTTATAACACAATAAATTATTTTTTTTATTGTGTGTATATATATATATATATATATATAATATATATATATATATATATATATATATATATATATATATATATATATATATATATATATATATATATATATATGTATGTATATATTAAGAACATTGAGCATTCTTTTTTGCTTAATGTTCTTAAAAGAACAGACCAATAATAAATTAAATAAGTAGAAAATCACTTAACAAGAAATTTCATTTCATACTGTGTTTCATCAATAAAGACTCATCAGAAAGGAATGATCAAATTAATAAAACCTCAATTTATACCAAAAATTAAATTATAGGAAGTCATAAATGTCTTAACTACTGTAAATTTTGACACATTTGTGGAATATGCTGATATTATTCTGTTTTTTTATAAAAATATCTTTAAAGGGGGGATTTAATGTAACTATTATTTGAGCTCATTTATTTTTATAGTTTTTTAGGAGAAATTTATTTTCGTGCTTATTTTTGACAGCATGGTGCCTTTTAAATAATTTTGATTTTTTAAAGGATTGCTTATGATTGGCAAAGCGCGTTTTCCATTCCTCTGTTAAGCCAATATATTGTTTATTGGGTATATTCTTCAAGGAAATAGCACATTTATATACCACGTTTTTTGATAAACAATTTCCACTCATTGGACATTACAATTTTTTGTTGTTTTTTGATTGAGAATTTCTTTTTTATATGACAAAGCCATATTGTGACCTTTTATAATTTTTTCCATATTTTTAGTGCAACTGTAACTAACATTAACTGTATTTCAATGAAAAATTTTATGTAATTTTTTAGAGAGTGGGAAAAGCTTATCAACTAATTTTAAAAACACTTTTCCTATGTTAGTGGAAACGTTTTTGCTATATGGGAGGTTGAACCAAATTACAATTCTAGTTCTATTTTGCTTTTTTGTATTCTTTTTTTCAGGGCCAAATATTTTTTCAAAATTTTGGAAACCAATTTTTTTGAGGGCATCTTCAAAAATTTATTTAGAGTAATTAAATACATTTTCATTAGAAGAGTTTTGGTTTAGCCTGTTATTAATTGAAATTGAGATTCGTTTTAGAATTTGGGGTGAATGATTTGAGTTAATATTAATATACAATAATTCATCTTTGGTTTTTTGAAAGGCTTGTATGAATTTTCACAGAGTTTAAACGTGACATCAAGAAAATTTAAAAATTCACAATTTTTATATTTATGCTTATTATTTAATATTTAAAAAATATTTAAATTTTTTTTTATAATATCTTTTCTAATTTTATCAATCTGTGGACAAGATTGTTTACACACTACTATTAAACCATTGTCACAATAAAGGCCTAAGTCATTAACATTGATTATTTTACTTAATAAATCTAAAATATATAGTCTAACAAATTCAAAAATTTCTGCTCCATCATAATTGCCCATTGTTACATCAAAGCAATCATGTATGTTTTTCATTTTCCAAGTTTTTTTTTTAAAGTAAAGTTTTTCAGCAATGTTTTATCATACAGATTGTCTCTCCTGGAATAACTGTGTGGAATAACTGTGTGGAATAACTGTGTGGAATAACTGTGTGGAATAACTGTGTGGAATAACTGTGTGGAATAACTGTGTAACTTTTTGCAAATTCAATTGTTTTTTGAATTTTACAGTAGTTAAGAAATTTATGACTTCCTGTAATTTAATTTTTGGTATAAATTGAAATTTTATTAATTTGATTATTCATTTCTGATGAGTCTCTATAATGAAACACAGTGTATAATAAATTTTTTTAAATATCTTTGCTTTCAACAAACCACTCTTCGCTGCAAGCAACCACTATTATAGTTGGAAGTTACTGGAAGAGAAAAGATGAAGTTTATAGAGCAAGATAACAATTGACAGGTGACTTTAAAGATTGCAAATTATATGAATCAGGAAAACAAGATAAGGGGAGCATATTCCGAAGAACTGATGTCCAAGGGAAAGAGACAAGCACAAATGACACTAGCTCTTTATAGTAGTGCCCATTATAGCATTTATAGAAAAGAGATAAAGGAAGCAACATAACGACAATGTGATAATGGTTGCAGGTTGGCTGCAAGAGCAGGTCCAACTATCTTTACAATTTGTTTTTGCACCTTGCCTGAAAGAAAAAAGGCATCATTGGAAGATCTGCCCCAGATATGGCAACAGTATTCCATACAAGAATGGATTTGAGGTTTATAGAGATAAAAAATAGAATCTGGAAAAAGAAAGTGGTGAGCACAATAAAGAGATGCAACCTTGGCAGATGCTAATTTTGCAATCGATTTGATATATGGTTTCCAAGAAAGATCAGAAGTAAGCGTTAATCCTAGAAGATGAAGGATAGATGACTCATCGAGTACATTACTGTTCATAAATATAGGAAAATCTAGATTATTGTGATAACAATTGGAGCCACTGTGAGCCCCATGCTGTAGCAGAAGAGAGACCCTTTTCAAGCTCAAATGCCTCCTCCAAGCAACCAGAGAGTGTTAGCTTCTTATCAAGACAAGAAGAAATTGTAGTATCATTAGTGAACAATACCAATGTAAAAATATCTGGAAGATTGTTAATGTAAATTAAAATGAGTATAGGGTAAAAGATAGAACCTTGGGTAACCCCTGAAGTTACAGGATATGAAGAAGAGTGCAGTTTATCGAGGACAACTTTTATACTACGATTGGAAAGGAAGGATTCAATAATCTTAAAGATAATACCTTATACAACTTTAAGAAAAAAGTTTATGGAGAAGACCAGCATGCCAAACTTTATCAAAAGCTTTAGAAATGTCAAGAACAATAGTCTTAAGCTCTCATCTACTTAATGCACAATAAAGCCTATTTGTTATTACTGTTAGATCAGCTGTAGAACAAGAAGATCATTCATATATATATATATATATATATATATATATATATATATATATATATATATATATATATATATATATATATATATATATATATATATATATATGTATATAATAATGTATATATATATATATATATTTATATATGTATATATATATATATATATATATATATATATATATATATATATATATATATATATATATATATATATATATATATATATATATATATATAAATGCATAGATATTATGTCTAAGCATTTATTTAACAATGTCTCTTTCTGTTCAATTGTTAATGACTTTTATTTGACAAACTTTATGTTGCATTTAAAAATAAACTGGATTGATTTTACTAAAAAAGATTGATGAAATTGAAAAGATTGAAAAAAAAGAAAGATGAGATTACAATAATGAAAGAAGCTTAAAAAAAAGTTTAATTATATCAAAATGGGGAAAGTTGGTGTAGCTAATAATTTTTTTTTTATAGAGTGAATAAACTCTCATTGAAAAAATATTTTGTTTTACAAAGTAAGTCAAAGTATGTTTCATTGATTACTGCAAACGCCATGGACACCGAAAAGCAAAGATAAGCTGGCAGTTTTAAAAATTTGATAATAAAAGAATTTACAAATGTGTTTTTAGAGGCTGAGATCTCATCAATGGAATATTTAAAAAAAAAAACATTAAGAAGATATATATTTAAGCATTAGCGTTATGATCATCCAAATCATTCTATTTTAGCTTAAGCGGTTTCTCGGTGGTATCCTGGTCCTACTCGAGTTTTCTGATTCTTTATTCATTATTCGTTTTTTAAACTATATCTTTATTTGCATTTTTTTTCTTTTTATTTCTATAAAGATTGTAATATATATATATATATATATATATATATATATATATATATATATATATATATATATATATATATATATATATATATATATATATGTATATATATATATATATATATATATATATATATATATATATATATATATATATATATATATATATATATATATATATATATATATATATAAAAGATTAAAAAGTTGTAGCTTTATAAAAATTGTCTGCCAAAGAAAAAGTGCCTTTTTTAAAAAATTAAATTAGGCCCTGTATATATATAGTTTATATATATATATATATATATATATATATATATATATATATATGTGTATATATATATATATATATACATATATATATATATATATTTATATATATATATATATATATATATATATATATATATATATACTGATAATATACATACATTAACTATATATATATATATATATATATATATATATATATATATATATATATATATATATATATATATATATACTGATAATATACATACATTAACTATATATATATATAGTTTATATATATATATATATATATATATATATATATGTATATATATATATATATATATATATATATATATATATATATATATATATATATGTATATATATATACTGATAATATACATACATTAACTATATATATATATAGTTTATATATATATATATATATATGTATATATATATATATATATATATATATATATATATATATATATATATATATATATAATTGAGCAAATTAGTATATATATATATATATATATACATATATATATATATATATATATATATATATATATATATATATATATATATATATATATATACATATATATATATATATATATATATATATATATATATATATATATATATATATATATATATATATATATATATATATATATATATATATATATATATATATATATATATATAATTGAGCAAATTAGTTTAGATATAAGATTGTCAAGTAGATTATTAATGTAGATAGGAAACAATACAGGAGCAAGAATAGAATCTTGAAGTACCTCAGAAGTTACTGGAAATAAAGAAGAATGTTGGCCTTTGAGAATTATTTTAATACTGTGGTTAGAAAGAAATGATTTGATAATCTCAAAAACTATCCTAGATACACCATATGAATCAAGCTTATGGCGAAGACCAACATGCCAAATTTAGTTGAAAGCTTTAGTTATGTCAATAACCCTTTGCCTTGCCGCCTCCATCTAATGCACAATAAAGTTTTTCAGTCACAGCAGTTGGCAAGTCAGCTGCAGAGCAAATCAAAGAAAATCAAAATATAATTTTGAGCAAGAGGATTGGAAACAGTATTGATTGTCTGACAGCAAGTTATTTTACTCAAGATGGGATGTGAGAAATTTGTTTATCAAAGACCTTGATATTAACAGAAAGAAGACTGATTGGATGATAATTGGAGGGGTCAGAATGTTCACCAGAGTTTTTGAAAATTGGAACAACATGCCATTTTCCAAAAGGCAGGAATGAAAAGAAAAAGTGAGAGAAAAGTTTAATTAAAAGCAACGGAAGCTGAAGTGATTTGGATGTCTAACAATAGTTTAACCTGTTTAACTGGAATGGCAGAAAGAGTATGGTCATTAGATTCAAGAATCGAATTAGAGGAAAGGTTCTTTGCAAATAGTTCTGCCTTATCTTTGGGGATGGTTATAAGATCGTACCCATGAATTAAAGATGGAATGCTTGATTTTTGCTATTGAATAATAAAGAACCAACAGGATGGTGATAGATTGAAGAGGTGCTTAGTGGAAGCACATTAAAGAATGGTCAGAGGATTGAAACTGGATTTTTCAAAAAATAGGAAAATTGATGTGTAAGTATATCCCCAAACCAAGCATGTGACTATTGGAGTTCTTAAGTCTGAGGAAGAAACAGTAGAATTTAAATTAGTCTTTTAAACAGCAAGTAAGTCTGGTGAATTTTGCAAGAGGTCAGATTCAACTGAAGAAAAGTTACTTTGCAGACCACTAATATTTGTAAAAGATATATTGAAACAGTTATGTGGATGTGATGGTTTTTTATGTTAAATATTATTGGTTCCTTTGGGCATAGTTTAAATTGATGATGTTTTTTTATGTTTATATTTTTCTATGAATGACTCAAGTTCACTTGAATCATTTATGAATAAAACATGGCGTTCTGAGCAATTAGCTACGCAGTTGCCTAATTAACAAAAATTTATAACTTAGGACACATTTTATGGCCTTGGCAATGCACACTTAAAGTACTAAGAGGGACACCATCCATGTACAACATGGTGCTGTTAATACTATGATATTTTACAGCTGTTGATAGAATCAGCTTCTCTGAGAGCTGCCACAGAGTTTGTGGAAACTTTATTACAAGTAAGCCTCAGAACCATTAAACTGAATTTTAAAGCTGATAACATCTTCTAATGTTATCTCCCTCATTAGGAGATAACAGTAAGAGTTGTATAGGCACTACCAAAAAGGAATATCTATCTATGAGTCAAGAAGATCATTCTTTATTCTAGTCAGAAAATAATGTAACACCAGTTTACATCTACGCTAGCCTAATAGATGAAAAAGAGATATGAGGCTGGTCAACAGAATCATTCTGCTCACCCCCAAAGTCTTGCATTAGATAGATGTGGAGAGGTTAAGGCCATCACTCTTGACATTTCTAAAGCTTTTGATAAAGTTTGGCATGCTGGTCTTCGTCATAAGCTTTCTTCTTACGGTGTATCAGGTAACATCTTTAAAAATATTGAATCCTTCCTTAACAATTGTAGAATAAAAGTTGTCTTTGATGGACAGCACTCTTCTTAATATCCTGTAACTTCAAGGGTTGTTCAAGGTTCTATATGGCCATATACTCTTTTTAATTTACATTAACAATCTTCCAGATATTCTCATATCTAAGGTGGGATTGTTCACTGTTGATACTACCAATTATTCTTGAAGCCAACACTCTCTGATTGCTTAGAGGAGGCATTTAAGCTTGAAAAAAATCACACTTCTGCTACAGCATGTTGCTCTCAGTGGCTGGTGAATTTTAATTCAGATAAATCTCATCTAACCTTTATCTTCTAGGATTAACTCTTACCTCCGATCTTTCTTGAAAACCATATATCAAATATATTGCAAAATTAGCATCTGCTAAGGTTACATCTCTTTATTGTGCTCGCCACTTTCTTACTCAAGATTCTATTCTTTATCTCTATAAATCTCAAATCCGTCCTTGTATGGAATGCTGTTGCCATATCTGGGGCAGATCTTCAAATGATGTCCATTCTCTTTTAGACAATATGCAAAAACGCAATGTAAACATAGTTGGATCTGCTCTTGCAGCCAACTTCCAACCATTATCACATTGTCATAATGTTGCTTCTCTTTCTCTTTACTATAAATACTATAATGGGCACTGCTCTAAAGAGCAAGCATCTCTTGTGCAATCTACTAAAATTCATTTACTGTGACTGTTACTAAGTGCTTCAAAAGTTCTTATTGGTCTAGTTTTTTTCCTCAAACATCAGTTCTTTGGAATTCGCTCCCTTCATCTTGATTTCCTGATTCATATAATTTGCAATCTTTTAATTCGTCTCTCAAAGTTATCTTGCTCTATAAATTTCATCTTTTCTCTTCCAGTAACTTCCAACTCCAATAGTGGTTGCTTGCAGCCATGTTGGAAGTGAATACGAAAGATTATTTTTATTATATTTAAAAAACTTTTATGTTAGTGATGTTGTTAGGCATATAGATTACAAGATTCTTTATAATCATGTTTTCTATCTACCTCATGAAATTAGAAGTGAACCATTTATTAAAAAGACTTTATTAAAAATAGTAATTTTCTCTAATGGTGTATTTAAAAGTCTCTCAAACTCTTGAAAAAATAAAAGGTATGTATAAATAAAAAGTTCTTTTTGTTTGAAAAAAAAAAATGACGCACAATGAACACAATTTTATATTTGTCAAAGCAGAACAAATTTGCTTATACTCCTTATTTTTTACAAACACCTTTTATCATGGCTTATTTTAACAAAAAAATTTCTTTTGTGTTTCCATTTTAACTATTATCTGTTCATTATTTGTTGAGATGTGTTTTTTACACCTACTGAGCTAATATTCCCCAAAAATCTTTTCAAGTCTTTAGTACATTTTGTAGACATTTTTTAGCTCAAATTTTGTTTAACCAATCTGTTGTCTTTTTAGCATGTAAGTCAGATTCAGCCAAAAGATATATTTATCTTCAATATAATGTTGGTTGATAAATATTGTTATTTTCTGCAAATATTTTCAAATATAGATGTTGGCATCAACAACTGATCATCTTGTTGTTCCTGTGTATGGCACTGAAATGCCTTTGCTGGATAGCACCAAACAATGTTTTAGGTTCAAATTTTTTCTTTTACTTTACATTTGATGGAGTTTTACTTTACATTTGATGGAGTATTTTCAATAGAATAAAATCTGGTATTTTCAGGCATTTCAAAACCTAAAAATGTTAAATTATTTCACAACACAATTTCTGAAACTTAATTACAATTTGTTTCGCTTGCTTTTCACTGTAGTTTGGTGCACATTATTGCCTGTAATCTTTTTATTGGCATTTTTCAATGTTTTTTTGCTGCGTCTTGTCTAATTTTGCTGGATTTCTTTTCTTCACTTGTTTCCACATTGTATGCCACTTTTGAATAAAACATATTGTATGGTAAGTTGTTGATTATGCAATGAAACCTAAAAATGTTTTACAACATAAGATTCCCTTAAGTAGATGTGTCGCTAAACTTTTTTTCTACACAAAAACTCATTAACTCAATGTGTTATGTATATCTAAATTGAAACTAGCTACATAACTGGTTACCATTGAAACTGGCTACATAACCGGCTACAATTAAAACCGGTTACTTAACTGGCTACAATTGAAACTGTATAAAATGGGTTTTTAATCACGCTTCTTATTCAGGCTTTTAAATGTTTTTTTTTTCTAAACATCATAAAAGTTTCTGTTTATCTACTATTCCAACTGTTAGCCCTGATTTAATCATGAATTGTCACCATTTGTATGTTGTTTAGTAATTTTATTTTTCTTTAGAAAAACTAAACAAAAGGAAGTTTATGTAGTTCAAACAAAAATGCGTCCTGTTCCATTAGAACACTATCTTTATACTGGCAATAGCAACAAAACTTCAAATGAACTTTTTTGTATATTGGACCAAAAAGGAAATTTTCTTTTAAGTGGCTATAGAGCTGCATTAAATGCTAAAAAGGAAAGAGCCAGTAAAGTAGATGAAAGTTATGGCCCAAAAGGTGTTCGACAGGGAAATCCTCAAGCAGTAAGTTTTTTGTATAAAAGATTTTTGCGAGAATGATTTAAGGTCAAATAAATCTATCATTTCAAATGTTAATTTAATTAAGATTTTATTATTTTATATTTAAATATTTTGTTTGAAATGTTAAATTTTCTGGTAATACATTTATGTACATATGTGTACATGGTGTGCCCATGTGTAGAAATGTAAGTCTTTTTTTGGTTCTTGCTTTTTTGGTCGAAAACCAAAGGTTTCTTTTTGGCTTGTTTTTTTGTTTTGAAAAAATTATTCCTCTTTTTTTATTTTAAACACTGAAATAATTATAAAATATGTTTTTTGGTGATATCTATTAAAAGAATTGTTTTCATACTTCATATAACTGAAATTGTTTGATGAAATATTTAAGAGCTTTTAGGACAATATTGATAAATTGGCATGCTAATTATAGCATGCCAATTTATCAATATTGTCCTAAAAGCTCTTAAATATTTCATCAAACAATTTCAGTTATATACACTTTATGTTAATCTAAAAATAAAAAACAAAAATCAAAGGAAAAAATAATTTATGTAAAAAAAAAATAACTTATGTTATGAAAAAATAATTTATGTAAAGAAAAAATAATTTATGTAAAGAAAAAATAATTTATGTAAAAAAAAAATAATTTATATAAAGAAACTTTTTTTGTTATAAAATACAACAAAATAAGTAATTTGTTTATTTTTTAATGTAGAACTGTTTTTTATTTTGAGATAAGTTCTTCAATTTATTTTTAATTTACCTTTAACTTTTTTAGCTTCTTTAACTAATATTCTTTAAATTTTTTGTAATCCATAATTATTTTTATTTAATTAGAAATGTATTATTTCATGGAATGAATGAGAGTTATCTGAATAAATATTTTTGTTTTATAAATGAAATAACACTGCATCACAAAATTTAAGAGTAAATGTTAAACAAAATCTTGTTTTTTACTTTTATTGCATAGTTGTAATAGCTTTTTGTTTTTTTTCACTGTTTTTTTTTTCTGTGATTTTAAATAAATTTGTCAACATTTATCTCAGAGAGCAAAATAATATTGGTTAATTATAATATAAGTAATACTGCATAAGTGTAATGTAGTATTTAAATAAAATTATACCTTTTTAAAAACTGTTTTGAAACAAAAACATATTTTTGTTTGAATATTGTTTTTGATTACTTAAATATAAAAATTTATCATAAATTATATCCTAAGTAAATTTGAGTTGTACAAATATCCTAATTAAATCTCACTAGTTACTAAATTATAAGGTTGTATTAAAAAATAACAGTTGCAAGGTGTTGTTAGCATTATTTAAGATTTTAAAAGTTCGTATTTTTTAGTTATTCAGTCTTCTCCGTTTGAAATTTAATGTCAGCGCTCAAAAAGGGGCTGGTCGGTCATTTTTAGGTTGCCCTGTGCGATTTAAAAAGTTTTTTCTGATATTTAGATTAAAATAAAAACAGCAAAAAAGAATGTTTTGAATAAATACAAGATGAAATAATTAAAAAAAAAAAATAAAATAGCAAAAAAATAAAAAATAAAAAACGTTTTATATAAATATTAAACAATGTAATTAAAAGAAAAGCTTAAACATGTTGTGTTCATATTAAAGATAATGTTAAAAATAAAGGTTTGAACCAAGTTTTTTTGATTAAAAATAAATAATGAATGCATACCAAGAAAAACTAATGTTGTTGTTTCAGCCAAAGCTCGCCTTTTATTCAAAAACTCGGAGTCTAAATTTATACGTCACAATCTACAAACTTCGGCGAGTTTAATTCATAAAAGACTAAAGCGAGACTAAAGCGAGTTTAATTCATAAAAGTTTTAGTATTTGACGTCACAGTAGACTTTTCAAATGAAAATGACAAATGAGAAGTGTAATTAAACAAAGCTGTGTTTTTCTACTTTAATTCAAAAAGTATGAAGTATTTTTTTTAACATACAGCAAAACAAATTTATTTGTGTTATTCTTCCAAACATTGCAAAAAAATTTTGTAAAAAGTAAAAATAATAAATAATTTTTTATTTTATAGGAGCAACTTATTTTTTATATATATCTTAAAAGTTTTTAGATTTATATATCTTACTTATATTTCTTTTGTTTTTAAACTAAAATAAATATTAAAGCTTTACTTACCAATCTTATGATTTTCATACAAGTATTTTACATTATATAGAACATTTTATATATGGTCTATCGTTTTTGTGCGAGAGAGCCCAGTATATTATATATTCTGAAATTATTTTCATTTAAACAATTATATTATTTTTATTTATTTTTATTTATTTATTTAATTATATTATTATTTCATTTAAACTATTTTCTAACTTCTAATCATTTTTACGCTATGATATTTTTTGTTTTCCTGTCGAAAAAAGTATTTATTAACAATTACTTTCATAAACTGACAGTATTAATTAGAGATATTTGATGAATTGTTAACTTTTTTTGTTATAAAAATTTTTTGATTACGCTGATTTAATTTAAATTGCTGAGTTTGCTGAATTGGATATGGATAAAAAGGAAATATCATTTTATCTTACATTTAATTTTTGATAACAAAACTTTTAAAATGTCGGCAACTCCATACCAATTAGAACCTGTTAAGGTTATGAAAAAAAAGTACTAGAATAAACTAAACAATACAGTTGACAGTAGTATCAGATATGAAAATTCGTGAAAGGATATGTGATATCCTGGTTTTGCATTAAAAGTACAATTTTTAGCAACACAAGTCGGCATTATAAATTTTGATTATAAGTTTACTGTTCAATATTTTATAACCATCAAATTAAAAAAGTAAAGTACGTATATTTTTCGCCCGTTTTACACAACTAATATTTAACAAAAATACATGCAAATTATTATTAATTAACGCAATAATTAGCACATTAATTAATGGAAATAATTCAAGATAAATGGTAATTTAAATTGTTAAAATGTCATAACGCGTGATAAAAAACCTTTTTTTGTATCCCAATTTATGTATCATATTTCGCATCAGTCTCTTAATATGAAAAATTAAAAAATCAATTGACAAATACAAATTTTCAAGCAATTTTCTCTTCCAATTCTCATTTATTCAAAGAAAAGTTACAATTAAACTTTTATTTCTCTCATCTAAAAAAATAACGAGTGACGCAAAAAAAAAAATATTTTATACAACTTTTATTAATTCGAAGTTTAATAACGCAAAATTTTTTTTTTCTCTTTTGTTTTTGCAAAAAATTTTTTTTCTCTTTTTCTCTGTTCTACTCTTTTTGCTATTTTATAAAAAGAGTACGCGATTAAATAAAAATTTTTCTTTTCTAACATAAAATTAAACTTAGAGATAAAATTAAATTAAATATAATCAATAATGAACAAAGCAACTAACAGTTTAATCTGGGACTATTTTGATATTAATGAAAATAATAAACATAAACAACATTACCAACAACAATAATCAAATAAACAACACAATATCGCATAATTTTAGGTTTTTTTTTATTTTTATTGCTTAGTTGTTCTAAATAATAAATAAATTTAATTCAAGTTAATACGTCAATATTTACAGTTGCAATATAATAAAGAAAAGATGTTTAATGTTGATTTTTTTATTTAGTTACTTATTTTTTACCTACATTTATTATAAAAAACTTTAGAACCCCCGTCATTATAATAATTTGTTTTAAATATATTTTGACATGATTATTCAAACTAATTTTTTTTGTTTGACTTCCCAAACTTTATGCAAAGCAAATTCAGACAAAATATCGTCAACCAAATAAAAATGCTTTTACTAATTTTATACGAGTAATTAATATAAAACAATTTTTTATCAGAGTTTCAATTGAGATAATAAATATTCATCATTTATTAACATTAAATATAGCACAATAACAATTTATACCAACGAACCAGCATAAAGTATTTAAGGTTTTTAATATCATTTTTAATGTTAAGTAAAAAATAAATAACTAAACAAATAATGAAAAAATTTATGAATAAAAATAAATAAAAATCTTTCCAGAGTTTTATTTGTCAAAAATCTATTGTAACGTCAAATACTAATACTTTTATGAATTATACATGCTTCAAAGGAATCACCAAAGTCTGTAAATTGCAACGTATAATTTAAAAACTTTAAGTTTTTGAATAAAATAGAGAAGGCGAGCTTCAGCTAAAACAACAACATTAGTTTTTCTTGGTATGCATTAATTATTTTTTTTTAATCAAAAAAACTTGGTTCAAACCTTTATTTTTAACATTATCTTTAATATGAACATAACATGTGTTGGAAGTTTGGGATCCCTTTAACTAGTTGATCTTTTTTTTTTATAAGTGTTATAAATATGCTTTGGCTATGACAACCTTTAAGGAGAATCTTATTAAGCTTGAGTTTTGATCTGATCTCATTTGGTTTTTGCATAATATTATTATAAACATCATTAGCTGAAGCAAATTTTGTCATGTATATTTATAAAGTTTAGCTTGGTTTGTTTTTTAAGATTAATAACTTTGTTGTTTAAAATGCCAATAATTATAGAAATTGTTTTGCCTATAGGAGGGGTATAATGCTATCACATCAAAAGAGAATTACTAATTTTCTATTTTATGTTGTGTAATTATTTATGGCTTCTTTTCAATGCAATATTTGTTTTTTTGTAAATTTAATTTTTTGTAACTATACATATATATATATATATATATATATATATATTATATATATATATATATATATATATATATATATATATATATATATATATATATATATATATATATATATATACACACACACACACACATATATATATATATGTATATACAAGTATATGAAAAAAACTATATAAATATTTATAATATATATATATATATATATATATATATATATATATATATATATATATATACACATACACACACATATATACATAAATACTGATATAGTTTTTTTTTATACATAGGATAAAAGTGTTTGGTTGTCTTTATTGTCAATGTTGCAGAAGAAAGATCAACTTCCTGTAGTGGCTTTTACTCTATCAAAAAAGAAATGTGATCAAAATGCAGAAAAAGTTAGCAGTGTTGAACTAGTAACATCTACTGAGCGCAGTCATATAATTTCATTTTTTAACAAATCTTTGAGGCAGTTAAAAGGTTCAGATCGCCAACTACCTCAGGTTTTTTAATTTTTGATATAAAAAGTTTTTATGTATATTTTATCTACTTTATAATTTTCTATTTTCTCAAAATGTTTTTGAAAGAGCTTTTTAGTTTTTAAATATTTACTTAGGTCATTTTCTACAGTTAGGTAGAAAAGCTCATAGAACTTTTTTTTTTTTTTTTTTTTTATTTTTTTATTTGCATTGACTCCCAAAAAGGCTGCAAGCAACCACTATTAAGTTGGGAGTTACTAGGAAAAAAAAAAGAACAGAGTTATAGAGCAAGGAAACGGTTGACAGAAGACTTGAAAAGTTGAAGGTTGTATGAGTCAGGAAAACATGAAGATGGGAGAGAGTTCCAAAGGATTGAAGTGCGGGGAAAAAAACTAGATGAATAAAAGTTTTTAGAGCATGCAGGGACAGATACAGTAAACGAATGAGACTTAGCTGAATGACAAGTAAAAGGAGAATGAATTTTAGTTGATGGAACTAGAGATGATAACTCCTTTGAGCAGTAACGATGATAGTATCTGTAGAAAAGAGAAAGAGATGCAACTTTACGACGATGGGAAAGAGGTTCAAGCTTAGCAGATAGTCCGGGTCCAACAACATTTACAATGCGTTTTTGGACCTTGTCAAGAAGAGAAAGTGAATCGTTAGAAGAACCAGCCCAAATATGACAACAGTATTCCATACAGGGACGAATAAGAGATTTGTAGAGGTAGAGAATGGAATCAGAAGTAAGGAAATGGCGAGCACGATAAAGAGAAGCAACCTTAGCAGAAGCTAATTTAGCAATCGATTGTATATATGGTTTCCATGAAAGGTCAGTAGTAAGCGATAATCCAAGAAGATGTAAAGAGGAGGACTCAGTAAGAGGATTGCCATTCATTAATATAAGAATGTTGACCATATTACGGTAGTTGTTTGCAGTAAGCAATTGGGTTTTTTTAGAGTTGAAATTCACAAGCCACTGTGAACCCCAATCTATTACTGAAGTGAAATCAGATTCAAGATCAGCTGCTTGTTCTAGGCGATTGAAAAGAGAAGACTTTTTGTCAAGACAGGAGTAAAAAGTTGAGTCATCAGCAAAAAGAGCTACTTTAGATGAAAGGTTGTCAGGAAGATCGTTTATGTAGATAAGAAACAAAACAGGGCCCAGGATGGAACCTTGGGGAACCCCAGAAGTTACTGGAAATAAAGAAGAGTGTTGGCCTTCAAGGATGACTTTAATAAACCGGTTAGAAAGAAATGATTTGATAATCTCAAAAACTTTCCCAGAAACACCATATGAAGCAAGCTTATGGAGAAGACCAGCATGCCAAACTTTGTCGAAAGCTTTAGATATGTTGAGAGCAATAGCCCTAGCCTCACCGCCTCCATCTAATGCACAATAAAATCTTTCAGTTATAGCAGTGAGCAAGTCCGCCGTAGAGCGAGAGGATCGAAAACCATATTGATTGTCTGACAGCAGTTTATTTGACTCAAGATGAGATGTGAGGAATTTGTTGATCAAAGACTCAAAGACCTTGCTAATAACAGAAAGAAGATTGATCGGATGATAATTGGAGGGGTCAGAATTTTCTCCAGAGTTTTTGAATATTGGAACCACAGATGCCATTTTCCAACAAGCAGGAAAACAAAACTCAGTCAAACACTTGTTAAATAGTTTAGAGAGAATTGAAGAAAGTTCTGGAGAACAATTCTGCAAGACTGTGACAGGAATGTTGTCTGGACCACAAGCTGTAGACAAGTTTAATTGAGATATGACTTTAGCAACAGAAGCCGGAGTGATTTGAATGTCTAACAATGGGTCAACCTGTTTGACTGGAATGGAAGGAAGAGAATGTCCATAAGATTCAAGAGTGGAATTAGAAGAAAAGTTCTTTGCAAATAGTTCTGCCTTATCCTTGGGAGAGGTAATAAGATCAGTCCCATGAATGAGAGATGGAATGTTAGATCTACCCTTGTTAACAATGCTGTTGAAGATTTTCCAAAAGTCTTTAGAGCCTAACTTCTGCGATAAGATGCGAGATTTAGTGAACTGAGAATAATGGAGTTTAGCATCAGAAAGCACCTTTTTACATCGATTTCTTGCAATAATAAATAGCCGTTTGTTCTCAAGAGAGTTGTTCTTTTGAAAAAGATGAAAAAAATGATTACGATTGGATATAGCAGCCGCACAAGAAGAAGAAAACCATGGAGTAGAATGAGACTTGACTTGAAACCTTCCATTCCAGCCTGAATCCAGGAGGTTACGTAGGAGGCGCATTTGTCAGCTGAGAGAGAAAAAACGTCAGCCCAAGGACCATCACGAAGAAAATCACCAAAGGAATCCCAGTCAGCTTTAGGGTAGTAGTAGGTGGTGCGATGATAAGGTGAGCCCAAAAAAGAAGTACGAGAAGAAAGATTTATAGAGATCATTGCATGATCAGAACCACCTAAGGGAGAAAAGGGAGAAACTGAACATAAGCTAGGGTCAGAGACAAGACATAAGTCAAGGAGTGAAGGTAAATGATTAGGGTTGTCAGGAAAATGAGTCACAAAGTTAACTATCTGAGTAAGAGATTGAGAAACTCAGAAGTTAAAGGCTTTAGTGCCAGCAGGATCAGTGGTGTTAGAGCCAAGCCATTCAGTGTGATGGGCATTAAAATCAACAACAACAACAATATTGGCAGAGGGGTAAAGAGAGAGGGCATGGTCAATTTGATCAGAGATAACATCTAAAAGATTGCAATCATGGGAAGAAGGAGAACGATAAAGAACAAAGAGAAAGGTGATAGAGTGAAAAGGTGCTAGGCGAAAGCACATAAAAGAATGGTCAAAGGATTCGAACCTGATTTCACGACAAATAGGGGAATTAATGCGTATGTATACCCCTAAACCTAGCATGTGACTATTGGAGTCTTTACGAATCAAAGGATAGTACCCATCAACACTGACATCTGAAGAAGGAATTGCAGAACTTAAATTTGTTTCACTGAGTGCAAGCAAGTCTGGTGAATTTTGCAGGAGGTAAGACTCAACTGATGGAAAGTTGCTTCGTAGACCGCGAATATTTGTAAAAGATATATTAAAATATTTAGGTGGTGGGGATGGTTTTTTAGGTTTTAAATTTTTGGTTACTTTGGTCATGATTTGGGTTTAATGAGAACTAGACTCATTCATAGATAGAGCACAGCCTCCTAATCAATGAGCTATGCAGTTGTCTCAGTCCTGGTCATTAACCCTAAGCGGTGACATAGGGCTCCTAATGTGGCCTTGACAATGCACACCAAAAGCATTAACAGGGACACCATCCATGCGCAACATGGCACTGTTAATACTCTGATATTTTGCAGCTGTTGATGGAATCAGCCTTTCTGAGAGCTACCACAGAGTTCGGGAAACCTTACTACCAGCCGGCCTCAGAACCATTAAACTGAGTTTTAGAGCTGTACCCTCATATGGAGATAACAGGAAGAGGTGCATAGCCATTATCAAGGAGGCATAAGCAAAATTCTATGAGTAGAGTCAAGGAGATCCAGCATTTATCATCCTAGGCAGGAAACAATGTAACACAGGTTACATCTACGCCAGCCTAATAGATGAAGAAGGGGTTCGAGGCTGGTTAGCAGAATTTTTCTGCTTACCCTTAAAGTCTTTGCCTAGGAGGCCTTCTACAAGACAGTAACAGGATGCAGTTAACATCTGCCCAAGATGAGTGTTTTTATCGAGACACCATCTCTAGCCTTTACTCAACCAAGAGCCCCAAGGCAGGGGAATTTTTAGTCGGAATTTATTTCTCCTAGCCTTTGCATAAGAAGAGCACACTCTGCAAGGCAGCAGGGCTTGTGGCAGGTGGTACTGGGTTACGTGATACTAGTAGCAAGATTGATCTCGATTATCCTGACCTGACCTGGAGTAGTTAAAAGGAGTTACTTCCCGCAACAGTATTTTGAGAAAACCAGGCATGACATTTTGGAAGTGCATTAGGAAAAACAGTGCATCTAACAAAATACAGGAGTCTAAGGTGAGTGTAGGTTTTGTAGTTGGAGTAAGTAGTTAGTTACTGAGCTCACGCTGCATTAGAGTATAAACAAAACACCAACAAACATAAATCAACTTACGGGTGAGTCAACACCGCGCCAACTTCATCTATAAAGTTCAATAAGATAGAAAATAATTAAATATTTATATATTAACTTAAGCTGTTTAATTATGAACATTTTAAGTATTTGTTTAGAATATTTTGAAGGTATATTAAACAGAAAAAATTTAAAATGGAAAAAATTGAGTATTGACTATACTTAAAATGGACATAATAGCATGCTCTACTTAGAGTTTTAGCATAAAACCATAACTAATGAATTGGGTTTAGTTCATGTTTATCAATCACCAAAATATAGTATAGTTGTCTGCTGTGGGCTGCTCTATTTCAAGATAGTAGAGAGAGTCTTGAAGATGTTTCTTGCTCAGGACACATTTACAGTAAAATAGGTGTATTTTGAACTTTTACAAAAAGTTTCACTTATTGTACCCTCAGATAGTTAAAAAATTGTGTCAGAAAATTGGAACCATCATTCTTTTTTTCTACTTAATTTAAATTTTTTGCAAACAATTAGAAAAACTCAGTAAAAACATCAGTTTAAATCAAAATTTATATAACAAATGAAGGATGCAATTGAAAAAAGAGTAATTTTATAACTTCCCAGTTTTTTTTACGAGAATCATATTTTTTTGAGCTTTTTCCTCATTTAAAATAGTCATGTTTCTGTCACATTACAACAATCAGTTCACTAAAAAAAATTTACAATTACACTCAAGCTACACTTAAAAACCGCAAAACATACCTTGTAATACAAGGCATTACTTACATTTATTTTAACTTAATGACAAAACTAATATCAGTGCTATAAATTTAAGATATGTAAATTTAAAATTATACTGAATAAAAAATATATTCGTTTAAACAAATAGTAATATTTGTTCGGTAATCCGGTACCGAAGTTTAACAAATAGCAATTTGCTATTTGTTTAATGAAGACAATATTCACCGCTGCTTAAATCCAAGCATGTAGTTAGTTTCCTAATTTTGTTTGCTAAAAATATTAAAATTATTGATAGTATAATTAGCATGATTGGTATTGTAGGATTGTATTATTGATTTAGTAAGTAAATTGTTGCAAAATTTACTTATATAATATATTTAATAAGAAACAGTATTTAGTAAAAATTTCTTAGTTGCGCTTAATGGCTTTTTTTACAACCTAACTTTTTCTGAATAAATATCACATATAGGATATTAAAAGACACACATATATATTTTGTATGTAAAATACTACCAGGGTAACAAGGCCTGATACATATACTTGTAAATGAATAAAATACAAAACAAGATAATACAAAACAAGAAATAAAAAAAATGTTAAAAATATAAAGTTACATTGAGCACTCTTATACGTGCAAAAGTTTTTTTGTATTTTATGTATATATTTATATATAACATTTATTTCCTTTAAGTTAATAATTTCCTTTTACTCATAAGGTTTTATGGCTGGAAGAGCTATTAAAAAATGGTATAGGTGTTCATCATAGTGGGATTCTTCCAATTTTAAAAGAAATTGTAGAAATGTTATTTTCAAGAGGTCTACTCAAGGTTTGTTATTTAGTAATTAGTGTATTAGTTTTTTATAATTTTTTTAGTACGTAAAGTTATAAACTATTTGGCTCTAATTTTTCTCTGATTATTTTTCAAGCAATTATCAATTATAATTCAGCAATTATATTTCAAGCAATTTTTTTTTTAAGTTTTTCAGTAAATTAAAAAAAGTTCTTGTAATTAATTGATTAAAATAACTTTTTTAAAAATTTGTCTTTACAATGTCATGAAATGTAGTTGTGAAGAAATATGTTCAATTTATTTCAAAAATACTATATCAAAAGGTTTTAAGTTAAAATTTTTGTTTTAGATTTTGTTTGCAACTGAAACATTTGCTATGGGTGTAAATATGCCAGCTCGTACAGTTGTTTTTGACTCTACACGCAAGTTTGATGGTAATAATTTCAGAGACTTACATTCAAGCGAGTATATACAGATGGCAGGACGTGCTGGGCGTCGTGGATTGGATAACACAGGAATGGTTATTTTATTATGCAAGGGAGATGTGCCAGAGACTTCTGATTTAAATAAAATGATGCTGGTACATAAACTTTTTTTGTATTTGTTATGTAATGTCAAGGTCATTTTTTTACTATATATGTTCTTTTTTTGTATTCTTTTTTAGGGTACTCCAACTAAACTAACGTCACAATTTCGCTTAACATATTACATGATTTTAAACCTGCTACGTGTAAAACAATTGACAGTTCAAGACATGATGAAGCGCAGCTTTTCTGAGTATTACTTGCAAAAGGTTTTTTAAAGATTTTTTTTTATTACAATTAGGTAATAATATTCTCACCTCAACTACTTTAAGTTAATTTTTATTTAAGGATGCTCCTGAAAATGAGAAAAAATTAGAGGAGCTTCGCATTAAGTGTAAGCAATTAAAAGATATTGATTGTCCTGTTTGTTCTATTGATTTAAAAGCTTATTACTTGGCATGGACTGAATGCTATCAACTTCAGAAACAAATTAAGGTAAAATGTTTTTTTTTCTAGGATTTACGATTCACAAATTTGTTAAATTAAGTATTATATTTCTATTTATAAAATTTAAAATGTATATATGATGCGTATTTGTTAATTATTTTTATGTTATTTAATTTATAATTAAATGCTTGATTTAAATATTCAATTTATAATACAATGATACTTGATCTGAGATTTATGAAAGTTTAAACCTTTTTTTTTTAAAAACTGAACGTTTTTTAAAAAAAAAGGTTTAAACTTTCATAAAGCTTATATATATATATATATATATATATATATATATATATATATATATATATATATATATATATATATATATATATATATATATATATATATATATATATATATATATTATATATATATAATTTTAGAAAAAGATTATATATATATAATTTTAGAATTTATATTATATATATATAATTTTAGAAAAAGATTTCTCTTGTTCTAAAAACAGAATTTGATTGTCAGATGAACTTATAACTTGATTCAAGATTATATTTTAAATCCCTTAAATAATTGGGAAGGTTTTCCAAAATTTATTACATAAATATAAAAAACAATGTAAAACTTACTTAGTAAATTTGGTTTAGATATAAATCTTCAGCCATCCTCAAAAAATGACAAATAAACAAACATTGACAAACATATTATTTATTTTAATTTAAATGTTTAATTTATTATATTATGATTAAGTTTTCAAAATTTAGTTTTATTATCAAAAAGTCTTTACAATCACGGTTCAGCTTAATATCACAAATTTCAGGATCACAGATTTCATTATAATATTATGATTTATATATAAATTGTATAAACACATTTGTATTAAATATAAAATCATGTTTCACAAACTTTGTATTGAGTTTTGTATTTGATAAAAACATTTTTAACGCATGACCGATAAATAAATATTCACATAAAAATAAGGAACTTTTATAAAGTTTATTAAAGTAAAGGTAGATTATAAAATGAGTACAATTAGGTAAAAAACTCATAATATTAACAATACCTACAATTTTTTTTAGTTAAAAAACAATTTCAAAACTAAAAGATCATTAATTCTTAAATTATTATATTTACATATTTTATTTTGCAAAAATAAAAAACTGATTTTAAGTTATAAAAATAACTTAAATATAATGCAAATCATGAAAAGCAATTTAAAAAAATTGCTAAATAAACTAAAACACTAGGATAATCAAAATAGAATGTTTACCCTAAAAATAATTAACCTCAAATATCTTTGGTTTGTTTACATGTAGGAATATATAAGCATAAAGTATAAAAAAAGGCATTTTTTTTTAAACGAACTAAAAAAAATTATGTTTATAAAATACTAAAAGAATCATGCAAAATATTAATTTATTAGATAAAACAGTTGATTACAGTTCTTAACTTCTTATTGATAGAACCCTCTTTTAGAACAAGTTTTAAAACCATAATTTGATTTTTTTATAAGTTAAGAAATAATATTTATATATATAAATATCATAATGGTATCATAATGGTATTATGATGGTATCATAATGATAAGACACTTTATGTAAAGTTTTTTATTATAAAAATGGTAAGATATAAAAAATTAAAAATTTAAAAACATCAAAATTTTTTTTTAATTTGAATTTATTGTTATGATTAAAGTTAGCATCATTAACATGTCACATTAATAGTCACCGAGACTAATCTTTGATATCTTTTTTATAACTTTGTAAATACACATTTAATATTATATTATTACATTTTATACTATATCTACTTTATAAACATATTACATAAAGGAACAAAACAAGCTTATAGCAAATTTTAAAATTAAAGTTAAAGCCACTTTATATAAAATTTTTAATTTGAATTTTTATCTCAAATTCTCAAATTAAAAAAAAAAAAAAAAAATTAATGAAAAATCATTTCATTTTGGTACCCAGTGAATACGCCCTATAATGTACTGGATTAAATAGTTTCTTTAACAAAAAATATAATGTTTACCAATTTTATAGATAATAAATGTTATCAAAAGATAAAATGAAACTTGACTGAAGTAGCATGTTTTTAAACTATGAATTTTTGATTTAGAGCTTTACATAAGTAAGCAATGATCATCAAAATAGAATCTTCTGCAAAAAGAAATAATGTACCTAAATAGCTGAAAAAATGATTCAAAAGGCATTGGTAATATAGTATTATGGAGTAATGTTGCAAAAGACATTGATAATAGCCAAGTATTATAGAGTAATGTTCCAAAAGACATCATATACACAAAGTAAATTTAAGATTTACTTTGTGTATATGATGCTACTAAAATAAAATGTGTATCAGCTAGCTGGTACACATTCTGTTTCAATTTTCTTGATAGAAAATTCTATCCGTTTTTTAAGTTTATCTAGATTTTCAGCATGCTAGATTTTATTGTACGCCAATTTTTTAAATTCAGACCAAAAATTTTCAGCCAAATGTAATTCTAGGACATTAGCAGGTTTATGTACTTTTTGTATTAATTCAATATTTTTGGATTTTAGTCTTGTAGTTTACATGAATAATGTGGTGAAGCAAGATCACACAGGAAAATGATACTGTCTTTTTTATGATATTTTTCAATGAATTTCTCTAACTTGAGAAAATTTTTTGAAATATGCACATTTGCATAGACTACTTGGCCTGAAAAGCTGCTTTTTGTGCTGGTGTTCTTTTAGGTGTTTAAGTTGATGGAAACAAATGGCTCATTAGAAGGGGCCAAGTCTGGTAAATAAAACATGCGGGGTAGCTGCTTCTAGCCAAGTGCTTTGAATGCATCTTGAGTCAATTTGGCTTGCACATGCATTGTTGTGTAACAAAATTACTTTGCTGTGTCTTCTAGCCCATTCTGGTCATTTTTCAATCAATGAAAGGTTTAAATTGATCATTTGTTGTCTGAATGGATTAATTCAATTCAATTCAATTCAATATATTCTGAAATAAGTTGTAAAATTTCAAGGACTTTTACAAATAGTACAAGTACTACCTACAACATTACAGTAAAAGTGATTATAATAACAATAATAATAGTATTGATAATAATTATAGAAATAATATTAACAATAATAATAAGATGACGATGAAAAGGAATATTATTAGTAATAATACTAACAATAATAATAAAGATATTATACAATCAATATTAGATAATAACAATAATAGTGGTAATAACAATTACATAGTATAAGTAGTAAATAAACTTAAGAAAAAATTAAAAAAGCAATAATAATACTTATTATGTTATAAATAAAAATAACAATTTACTAATAAAGATAGAAGAATATTATTAATATCAATACTAATAATAACAATAAAAATATGAGAACAAAAAGTTAATAATAAAACTAGTAGGTATCAAGAAAGTAGTAATAATAAAAGCATAACAACATATTTAAGAGTCTTCAGGTATAATATCTTGCTAAAAAATAGTTAAAAAGACAGTTTTTGAAATTAGTAATAGAGTCAATTGATTTTAATGGTGAAGGTAGACTGTTCCATGATTTTACACTTTGGTATTTTATGGATTTTAGACCATATTTTACAGAAGAATGATTTAGTTTCACCAGGTTTTAGAAGTTCAGTTTGCAGTCAATGTTGATGGTTGTTCCGAACTAAACATGTTTTTTTCTAGGGTTTGAACAAAAACTGACTTTTTGAAAAAGCAGTTTATGAATTCCAAATTTCCAAAAAACAAGTTTTTGAATTTTTTTTTTTTTTAAATCAAATAAAGAGAAATATTTACTTTATATATTATATTTATTTCACTTATTGTAATTTTTCCTAAAGAAATATGATTTTAAAAAATATAATAGGTCCATTTTTTTTTTCATGATAATATGAGCTTATTTTACCTTATTATTAAGCTTATATTATTATTATATTATAATATAAACAAAATACTTAACAAACTAATCAATGAAAACTTATTACATAAAAAGTATTGTATAAAACATACTTGATTTTTATAAGTAACAAATTTTAAAAATATAATTTTCAAAAAACATGGCATAGAAAATACATATAAATGAATACTACAATGTTACATATAAAAATTATTATAGTATTATGTATTATTATATACATTATGTATTGTTATATTATATACATAATGCAGGCTTGGCCAGAAAGGCATGCGATTTCAAGTCATAATATGACCACGCAAATACTCTGTGATTTTGACCTTGACCATGGCTGTTAATTTGTTTCGTAACTTCACTATAAAGAAGCTTTTAAAAAAAACTTAAAAAAGAAGCAAATAAATCTTTGTTAAAGAAATAATGAAAAATAAAATAAAAATAACTCAACTAAAACTAAATTAAAAAAAATAAAACTAAAACTTGAGTAAAATAAATAATAAACTATAATGATAAGATTATCTAAATTACGTTTGGAAAAAATAACTTTGAACCGTTTATTTTTATTAATGTTTTTATAATTTAATACTATGCAAACAGCTTTTTAAATAAAGTAACAACTTACATCTAACAATTATTTAACAAATGCCCACATTTAAAAGTTAAAAAAAAGTTTCTTAGCAACGCTTTGCAATAACATAAACAAAAGAAAAAATAATTAAATTGTTTATTTAAAAAGTTTATATAATTTTTTTTTAAATTTAAAAACATAATAAAAAATACTTATATAAATATATAAAAATATATATATTATTCATTCATATTTTTGTAAAAAATCATTAGCAGTAATTTGTTACTTTGTTAAAATGCGTTGCAGTAATATAAAAACATAAGTAAAGATCAAAGTTATTTAATTCAAACGGCTTACAAAAAGTTTGTCTTCTTTTTTCTTCACCAAAATATTTCTACTCTTTCAGTTAGTTAACTTTAATGATTTTTATATAAAGTTTTTTAAAGAGATCGTCGCTGTTTAAAAGTTGTCGCTTATAAAATTTAAATTTTTTTAAAATAATTTTTACTTTTTTCAATTTACTTTTTAATTTAAAAATCTTATATAATTAAATAATATAAATAAAATTTTATAAAACTTTCAATGATACTTTAATTAAAATCATTAGCTACTTTATTTAAAAGTGTTTTGCTAATGTAGACATGTTAGTAAAGATAAACGTGTCGAAGTTATTTATTTTCAAAATAATTAAAAACAGCGCATTTGTTAAAAACTGTGGTTAAATTGACAAAAAAAAAATTATTTGCGTTGTCATATAATGGCTTGAAATCACATGCCTGGCAAAGCCTGATAATGTATGTATTATTATATACATATACTTATTACATTATTACATACAAATATATACATATTATAACATTTTGGAAGAACTTTCTTAAATTCTGTGTTTACAGCACTTGTAGTTTTTAGCAACTTTTTCTATTGAATAATTATTACATAGCATTTTGCAAAAAAAAAAAATCATGGAAAAAAACTTTATTGTTGAAAAAACACAGCATACTAAACTAACTTAATAAAATGTTGTTGTATAACAGATTAAATCAAGCAATTTATTATAAAAATAGAAAACCTGTTTTTTTAATTTAAAAAGTGGTTTTCTAATGTGTCAAGTTTTTTTAAACCAGTTTTGAAAAACTGCCTAACCCTAATTTTTTACATTTAGGATAATTAATGCTAAAAAAATTTCAAATACCATTTTCCAAACCTATAAATTTTTAAAACAGCTGCTTATAATGTCTTTTAATGGCAAATAATAGATATATTTATAATATGAGTAGTTGAGGCTTATTAGTCATTAACCAAGTACTGCTGCAACACAATTGTAAATTAAAATATTAATTACCCTTGTTCATTTGGTCTAGTTTAATTTGATTAATTCCTAATTTCCTCTGAAATAAATCCTTAATTTATTTAATATTAAATCTTTATTAAATTATTAGCTTTGTTTTGAAAAAGTTTTCACAAATAAAAAACATATTTAAAGTTGCATTTTAATATCACAAATAAATTAAATACTTAATTTATGATTTCTGTTTTTTTAAATTTATCACTGCTTGATGAAGTCATTTTTAAATTACTGCTTAGTGAAGGTCTTTTATAAGTATAAAGTATTTAAAAAAAAAAAAAATAACTGTATGAAGAAAAAAAAAATAACTGTATGAAGAAAAAAAAATGTATGAAGTACTTTCTAAATCAAAATAAACCTCATTATCAAGAAAATCAAAACTTTCAAAATTTGAACTTTATTACAAAATATGCAATTAGACAAGATAGTTTAATATTAGACAAGATATTTTTTTACATATCATATTCTCCTCCACTATGTTGAACCCAGTTATGTAATTGAAAATTAGAAGAAAAAAAGTTTAATTTTTTTTTTCTTTTTTTTTTTTTTTTTTTTAGCTCTCTCTTTTTTACTCTCTTAACTTTCTTCACTTTAAAACATAAATCTTTCTTCACTTTAAAACATAAATCTTTCTTCACTTTAAAACATAAATCTTTCTTCACTTTAAAACATAAATCTTTCTTCACTTTAAAACATAAATCTTTCTTCACTTTAAAACATAAATCTTTCTTCACTTTAAAACATAAATCTTTCTTCACTTTAAAACATAAATCTTTCTTCACTTTAAAACATAAATCTTTCTTCACTTTAAAACATAAATCTTTCTTCACTTTAAAACATAAATCTTTCTTCACTTTAAAACATAAATCTTTCTTCACTTTAAAACATAAGTCTTTCTTCACTTTAAAACATAAATCTTTCTTCACTTTAAAACATAAATCTTTCTTCACCTTAAAACATAAATCTTTCTTCCCCTTAAAACATAAATATTTCTTCACCTTAAAGCATAAATCTTTCTTCTTTTTAAAACAAAAATCTTTCTTCACCTTAAAACATAAATCTTTTAAAATAAGATTTCTTTAAATAGAAAAGAACTAAACAAGGTATTACAACAAGCATGACAACAGTCAACACTTCTGTCATCTATACTTAATACTGATAATATTTGAAATCGATATCACCTTAAATTCATAGTACTATCTACTGGTGCACTTTATATTTATATTACTTAATATTGGTACTACTTTACCTAATCTATATTTATTATCTATTACTCTAATGCATAATATTGCTGCCATCTTTACTAATCAATGATTCTTTAACTTAGATTATAGAATTATTGTTTAGTATTTACAAATAGTAAATTTCAAAAATTTCAAATGATATTATATAATTTTCACTCTTTTTACTAGAATATTTTATTCTCTTCAATGCAATGTCAAAAGTTACTTGTCCCCGGAAGACTTTTGCTAGTAACCAATGCCAATCATAAGCGCAGTTTAAGTGTCATTTTGCAGATAGGTGGATTAGGAAATCTATCAAGTTTTAAAGGTTTATCTTCAAAAAATCCTTTAGAGAAGCTTTACACAGTTTTAATTTTGTGCGAGAAAAACTATGAAGAGATGAAAATGTCAGACATTTCAACAACAAAAGTTTCACAAGAAGAAGAAGTTAAACATCCTAATGAAATGTTTCTTCAGAATGATTTATTTATACCTAAAGGTCAATGTGGACAAATAGTTGAAGAGATAATTGCAGCAGACATATGTGAAATTGTAAATAAAGTTATAAAAGTAGATTTGGAAAAAATTTTAGAAAATCACAAAAAAAGACTCATTCCAAGATTCAGGTATTTTTTTTTTTTTTTTTATCTTTTTGTATTTTTAAATATTTAGATTTAGTTCATATCTTTTTTATTAATAAAGAAAACAAAGAAGAGTGAAAAAAGACTGTTACAGTAGTTCAGTTGAGAGTTAAGAATGCCACAAGCCATTGTGTTACCTGCTTCTTTGGTGAGACATTGACATATGTAGTAAAGAGCATTAATATGGTAGTTGCAGGATTTAACAGTGTTTTTTATATGCTGGTTTTTTGGAGAGTGTTGAATCTAGGGTGACACCTAGGATTCTTACTGAATTTACTGTAGTTTAATGTTGTTACATTGTAATTTTAGAATCATTTTTAAATTTTCCAGTTTAATTCCTAGATCCAAATAAAATAGTCTTTGTTTTGCTTGGTTAAGTCCATTTTCTAGAAACCAAATTTGTGACTGCATTAGCACTTTCAATGATTTTGTTAATGTTATCTTTTCCTTAATGAAAGGGTTATGTATCATCAGCATATTGATGATGATTTGTACCATATTTAGTTATAATACGATATTTGGTTGAAATAAGCATCAAAAATAAAAATAGGCCTAATACACTACCTTGTGTACTTATGCTGAACTCACTGAAAATCTAGATTTGGTTAAGCCAATAGAAACAAAGGATTTTCGAGATAGGAAATATGATATCAGCCATTTTATTGCAATATCTGTGACACCAAATTCATCTTTTATACAAAGAATCAGCAGGTTGTGATTGGTTGTATCAAACGCTGCAGATATGTCTAGAGAGAGGAGAATGGTGATTAAAGCATCATCAATGTTTAACAGGGTGTCTTTGCATATCTTTAGGAGTGCTGTTCCTGTTGAGTGATTGGACCTAAAACCAGATTGAAAAGGATTGAAGTTTAGAGTTGAAGTTACATGTGGAAGAAATTGAGAAAAAGCAAGCATTTCAAGAACTTTGTATTTTGTATTGAGATTTGATATGGGGCAAATATCAGTGGCTTTAAATACTGTTTGTCTCAATTTTTTGGGAATTTGAGCAACCTCGAATAAGGCTGGGAAAATTCTAGATTTGAATGAGAAGTTTTTAAGGTGAGCTATAATTAGACTAAATAATTCTGAAATGATTTAAGAATATTTTTTGGAATAATATTAAGTGGCGATGTCATAGGTTTGAGAGTTTTGATTACATGCAAAACATCAGCGGAAGTGACTGTACCAAATGTTGTAAAAATATCTATAAGGGGAGATTGCTACAAAATCAAATCAGATTTTGAGATTTTAGCTTTTATATATATATATATATATATATATATATATATATATATATATATATATATATATATATGTATGTATATATATGTATATATATATATATATATATATATATATATATATATATATATATATATAAGGATATATATATATAAGGATATGTATTTATATATATGTATATATATATATATATATATATATATATATATATATATATATATATATATATATATATATATATATATATATATATATATATATATATATAATATATATATATATATATATATATAAGGATTATATGTTCCAGTTTGCTTACAAAATATTGATTTATTGTGTCATTTTGCTTCTGGCATTGTGTTGATTATTTTTGGATTATTCGAATTAAAGGTAATTCCTTGGCAATTATTCATGTTTCTTTTTCATTCCCATGTGCTGAGTTTTTCCTTATAATAATTACATCTGGATTGGTGGAATGCCTCATGGCATGCAGTTTGATATAATTTTTTATCTGACCAGTTTTTCTATAATGATGCCCCAGTTTATTACATAGGCTTTTTTTAATCTTTGCATCTAAAGATAACCATTTACTATTATGCTTACTAAGTCTAATTGAATATTTTCAAATGGGTACCAAATTATCAAGAAGGATTGCTAAATTTGTTCTTATTTATCATCCACATTATTTGTTCTTATATATATTTGTTCTTATTTGTTCAGCATAATCATCCACATTAATTTCAAGTAATAAACAGAATGGCATCACTTTCGTTTTTTCTATAAAACATGATAAGTTGAGTTTTTAAAATTGTGTTTCAAATACCAAACAGTTTTACTTTTTTAAGGTTGATATAGCATAGATAGTAAACATTTTAAAGGTTGATATAGCAACATAGATAGTAAACATAAATAGTATAGATAAAGTAGAGATAATTTTTATAATTTTACAATTTTACAATTACAATTTTTATAATTTTTATAAAGTTTGAATAAATCCAAATCAAACTATCTCTTTGAAATAATAATTATAAGTAGGCATTTATGTTTCATGAACTTTTTTATCCGATTACAAAAGTGCTAATGATTAACTGTAATTAAGCCAGATGTAAAGCTTGTCTCAAAGTCCTTACAAATATTTAAGAGTTGGTTTATTAAATACTTTTTTTAAATAACAAATTTATAAATGATTAGTTTTGCTTTTTAACACAAGTTTTTCCATTAGTTATGTATATTTGACTTTACCCATTAAAGTAGCAACTGCAAAAAAATCCTTAAGCACATTAAAACACATTTGAAGACAACAATGGTGCAAATCATTTTGTCTGCACTAGCCCTAATAGTTTTCTGAAACCTAATGTTATTTTAATTGTCACGTAAAACCATACAAAGCAAATTTTATCCCGTAACTCGCTAATATTATTGAGTTCTTTTAATCTATGGTATTTAATTTTGTTTGCCAAGGGCCCAGAGCTGTTAGGGACCCAAGCCAAAATTTTCAATTTTTTTTTTTATAAGTTGTCATTCTTAAAAATAATATTCATAAATATAAACATAGCAACATTATTTTGCTAATATTTTATAGCTAAGAATTACATAACTCTTTTTCAGACTATTTTTTTTAGCTTTAATGAAAATCTTGACTAATACTTCAAATAGTGCGCTTTTTATTTATTTATATCTAAAAAATTAAAACAAACTGTATTAACTCATAAATATACAATTTAGGTTCAATATCAAATTTTATTGCATCAGTCAACTGGAATATTTTATTTTTTCATGAAACCGTGGATCAAATGTTTAATTTATCAATTTCTAACAATTGTACTGATTGCGAATATTTTATCCCCAAAGGTTAATAAAACAAAGAAAAAGTATGATCCTTGGGTTACTCTGCATATTAAAAGCCCAATTTAGCGCAAAAGATCAGTATTGTATATCAACTGCTCAACTAAATGAAAAAAAACTTAAAATTAAATACTTAAAAATAAAAACTTATAAACTTAAAATAAACTGCTATCTTCTTAATTGTTCTGTAAAAGCTGAAATATCAAAAGCAAAATGAGCACATAAAAAAGAAATAATATTAATATCCCTCTGAACAATTTCCATCATTAAAAAAGTGATACTAACCTGAATGAACTTATGGTTTTTTCTATTTTAGACATTATTAACTTATCAATCTAAACCCCTACAAATATTTTTTCCATTTATAAAAATCTTTCATAAATTCTTTAATTCTGGAATACAACTCAGTCTTTAGAAATTAGCAAATTTTAGTTTGATCTTTAAAAAAAAACGGAAAATAAATTACTTTCTGAAAACTATTGACTTATTTCACTAAACTCTGCTGCCTGCAAAATAGTCAAAATACTTGTTAAGAATTTTTAAGAAAAGTTTTAAGCACTTTAACGATAATAAAATGCCCTCTATGCAAATCAACATGGCTTTCTTCACCATAAATTATGCGTGAATAATATAATAGAGACTTGATGTTATTTAATTTTCTATAGTGTTTCACCATTTTATTGATGTAGCCACAATTATGCTAAATCGTTGATTATCTATTTCAAAATAGACTTATGTTAAATTTAAGATATTTTGGTATAAATGGGAAACAAAATAAAAAGGTATAATAAATCAATTTCAAAAGAGCTCTACTAAAATGCGTTATTTTGGAGTCATTACTTTATGAAATGCCAAGGAGAGCACACATTTTTGAACAGTTGTCTCAAAGTCCTTACAAATTCTTGGTATGCAAAAAGACATTCACTTTCATTGATGAAAAAATGGCTCTCAAGTTATATAAAGTGTTTATTAGACCACACTATAAATAGTGTCTATTTGGGTTTCTTATTTAAAAACTGATAAAACCTTGGTTAAATCTGTTCAATGCAAAGCAACAAAATGAACTTTCAGCATAAGACAACTTTAATACTGCAAAAGCCTAAGAAGATAGAATCTACCATCAGTGACTAAGTGTTTTGGTTGGGGAAGCAATAAGCTTAGGGTTAAGAGAAATTTTCCACACTTTTTCCCCGGATTTTACACATTGAAAATTTCCACATTTTTGCATTTTACTCGTGTCCACAATAACATATTATGATATAAGTTGCTCCTATAAAAATATAATAGCAGCACTTATGTTTATTTGACTTTACCAGTTAGTTTAGCAACTGCAAAAAGATCCTTAAGCACATTAAAACATTTAATGACAACAATGGCGCAAATCATTTTTTCTGCACTAGCCCTATTAGCTACAGAAGCAGAAATAGCAGCTCAATTTAATTTAAAAGGTGCTATAGACCAATTTGCAGCTAGAAAGACAAGAAAAAAATTTGCATTCGATTTTTTACTTACTAGACTTCCATAGTGTAACATACTGGTTTTTTATTTAATTACATCAAAATTGTATTTGAAAATAAAGTTTTTGTTTTTATGAATAATTTTTGTCAAGAAAAGAGAAAGGAGGAGGAGGCGAAGCAGAGAAGTATTTTAGGGGCCCATATTTAAATTTTGCAGAGAGGCCTGTTTTTTGTCACTACACTATTGACTATAAGTGATATACATATAGTGATAAACAATTGAAATAGATTTAAAAAAAAACAATTCTTACTGAAAATATAACAATTTACATGTTATTTTATTATAATAATATTTTTATTATTTATATATTATTTTATATAAACTATTTGATAAAATAGTTTATATAAAAATAATAAATTTGATAATAAAAACTTCAAGCTTCAACAAATTAAAAAGAATCATCAATACAACATATTCAATCCAAAAAAACATTTATAAGTGCAAATGCATTGCCAACTGTAATTGCAGAACCAGGTAATTGTTTGAAACAAGTTACCTGTATGATGGTCATATTTATATAGAGTATTATTATAGTATTACTTATAAACTATATATATAGAATATTATTATAGTATTACTTATAGCATAGTATTACTTATAAATTATAAAGTTAAAATGAAAAGAATAATGCACACATATAAATGTTATCTGCAGCCCTTGGAATTAGGGTCATCATTCGGCAATGTCGACTTAACTCCCAACCTAAAAGTGTTTGAGGTTGGCAAAAAAAAGCCAACCTCGTTTCTATGTTTTATAGTAAGACATTTGTATCAAATTTTCTTTGCCAACCTGATGCTGACCTCTAAAAGATTGAGGTCTGCAAATTATGGCTGACCTGATTCGGAGGATTGTACTGTATGTTGGTAACATTTATATAGAACAAGGCAACAACAAGTATATTATTACTTATAAATGGTAATTTAAAAAAAGCATCTGAAAGATGTAAAACATTTCTATTGCCAGTCAAACTTGCCTGCTTTTAATGCAGTAATTTAAATACAATATTAAAGTTAAAATAAAAGGACTTATGCACACAAAACCACTAGTTATCTAATGTACGTTAAAACTAAAATATTTGAATTAAACCAAATAAACATTAAAAATCAAACTGATTCACTTGATATACTTGCTATACTATTGCAAGTTATGCAAAGTAAGCTAAGCTATTGGTAATAGCTAGAATAAGATAAATATATGCATTTTATAATGCATCATAATATCTGGCTTGGCCTGGAAGGCATGTGATTTCATGTCATAATATGACCACGCAAATACTATTTGATTTTAAAACTTGACTATGGCTGTTAATTTGTTTTTGTATACATTTTGAAAATGCGCTGAAAAAGTTCTGAAAAATCTTAACTATAAAGAAACTTAAAAAAAAACTTATCGTAATGAAGCAAATAAATCTTTGTAAAAAAAAAACGATAAGTAAAATAAAAAATAACTTTACTAAAAAAAAAGTTAAAACTTGGCTAAAATAAATAATAAACTATAACGATAAGTTAGATTTTTTTTTCTATTCAACAAAATCTTTCTGTTTTTCGAGTGAATTCACTTTAATGATTCTTACATAAAGTTTATTAAAGAGACCATCGCTGTTTAAAGTTGTTGTTTATAAAATTTTAAAATTCTTTTTTTAAAATTTTTATTTTTTAAATTTTACTTAAAAATATCTTTTGTAATTAAATAATATAAACAAAATTTATACAACTTTCAATCATACTATAATTAAAATCATTAGATTTTATTCAATATATATATATATATATATATATATATATATATATATATATATATATATATATATATATATATATATATATATGCTTATATATATATATTAACATAGTTATTAACATAACGGTAAACATAATGCTAAATTACAATTTTTATTACATAACTTACAGTTATGTAATAAAAATTTTTACTTAACATTATGTACAACAAGAAATTTCATTGAACCAGCATTTTTTAAATGATAATTTAGTTTGATTGTCTTGCAACTGGTTTATTTTATAAAATTGTTATAAATTGTAAATATGATAAATGTTTAGGTCAGATCCTCCTTCACAGTCAACTGTAATTGCAGGTCAGCAACTTTTTAATCTTGCAAAAGATTTTAATGATAAAATTTGTCCAGTCATGCATCCTATACATGATTTATGCTTAAATGAGATAAAGTTTGTAGAAAAACATAAAAAATTTGAACGCATTTTGCCATCACTCCATTGCTTCAATTGTCTTGATTGTCCTAATATTATTAAGCATGTAAGTGCACGGTTTTTAAAAACTTTTTCTGACAACTTGAATATTTTAAAGAATTTTTTATAAATTAATTTTTTAAAGTTAATATTCAAGTTGTCAGAATTATATATAAATATATATATAAATATATATATATATACATATATACATATATATATATATATATGCATAAACATGTATATATATGCATATATATATATATATATATATCTACTGTAGCATATTTATATGCGCAATTGCTCACTTTTTTTGCTAGCCTAAATTAAGTGAGCATTTTTAGAAAACGATGAGGGAAAACGAAGAATAATGAATGAAATTGTTGCTGACCCATACCAAACCCTCAGTCGATGTAGCAGCACTCCACGGCGAGTCAGGCTATTTGTCAGTCGATGTATGTACTGAAGCCCCCGGCAGCAGGCTATTTGACATTAGGTGAGTATGACATCATCATGCTCACCTAACTCAGCAGTATAAGATATATATGCATATATATATATGTATATATATATATATGCATATATATATATATATATACATATATATATATATATATATATATATATATATATATATATATATATATATATATATATTTATATATTGTATTGTATTGTATTATATTGTTATATTGTATTGTGTTATATTATACTTATGCTGTTAGAAAAGTTTAAGAATCTTCTATAAAAATAACTTTTTTTAAATTTTATTTTTATTTCTAAAATTTTCACACTATAATGTTTAAAATGATTTCTATGATTATCTATACATCCTTTCAAAGATCCTTTCATTCCTTTCAAAGATCCATTCAAGCCTTTCAAAGATCCTTTCAAAGCCATTTACCATATGTTTTTATACTCTTCTTTGGGTACACTTTGAAATAGCTTGCTTATGTGGTTTTTTTTTACTTTTGAGGTCTGTATAGTGATTAAGATTTTTTTCAATACTAAATCAAATAGCCAAAAATTGGATGAAGCTAAGTCTATAGAGTATGATTGGTGACAAATTATTGTGACATGTAACTTGTGGTAACTTGCAACATATAACATGGGGTCAGGGTAATCACAAAGAGCTTTAAAATTTTAAGTGTCTGTAACAGGTATTTACTTATTTATTTTGTGTGTAACAGATTTTGAACAATTTCTTAGATTAGCTTGTAATGGTTTCCCCTTTTTTAACATAACCTTAACAAACAACGTTTTTCTGAAGAAGATGTAAAGGTATTTTGATTTTTTATAAAACCTGTTGCGCCTTACTATAAGGTTCTTGGACTTATACTTTCATCAACCCAACTACCATTAGATGACTTGTGTCCACTTTGTCTCAAATAAAATCACAATACCCACCCTGTAATAACATCACATTGTCTCCATAGGCTGTTTTTGAGGGCTAATTTTCTTTGCATGCCTTAACTTTATTCTTTTGATTTTGATTGGTTAAATCATGGGTTATCCAACATGATGCTAGTTTTCTTTTTTAAGAGTATTATAAATGATTTCATTGTTTTTAAAATGATTAATCCATCTCTGAGTTTTAATTATATCATGTTTGCATGAGAGTTTCCTTTAATATGTTTAATATTCTCACCTTTTTACTTGTTTAATATTCTCACCTTTTTACTTGGTTTGAGAGTGCCCTGAGTGGGAATCATCTTTGATACTCTTTCTGCCATCTTTAATAGAGCAGCCTGCTTAGTAACTGCACTATATTTTCGTGTTTGCTAACCATGAACTATTAATCTTGATCAATTATCAATTTATTAGTTATGGCTCATTAGTTATGACTTGTGGTAAAACTTCAAGTAAAACATGGATTTTATGATATGGTCAATATTCTTTTTATTTCATTATAAAATTTATTTTCTTTTTATTTCATTATAAAATACTTTTCATAATAAAATACTGCTTTAGGTTATATGTAAATATTTAGTTATTTTCTGTCTTTTTGCAACTTTACAGATGAAAATCTATAAACTTTTCTAAGAACCTAAGTATTATTTTGTATTTAATATTAAATTTTTTTTTTATATTATAATTTATGAATTGTCCTAATAATTGTAATATCATAAATATATTTGCTTTGAGTTTTTTCTTATTAGTCTGTTTGATTTTTTTTTTAAGTTCTCTTTAATGCAAAGCAACATGCAAGTAAAGGAAGATGTTGCAATGTTGGAATTTCGATTGTCTGATGAAAATTTAAATCTTATGCAAGAATATAATCAAAGGATTGAGGTAAATAAATAAACAATTTATGAAACTTATATTGTATCTAATGAAATGAGATAAATAAATAAACAATTCACGAAACTTCTATTGTATCTATATAAAAAAGTTGCTATGAATTAATGTTGTTGAAGTTTACATTTGATTTTTTAATTTATAAAATTCATGACAATGAATTAATGTAAAATAAAATTAAAATAAATAATGACACTATAAAAAATATATATATATATATAAAAAAAAAAAAAAATCTGACATGTATCTCTAAAAAAGTGTTTTTATTCTTAGGTACTCAAGACTTTAAACTATATTGACAAAGAAATGAATCTTCAACATAAAGGTCGCGTGGCATTTGAAATAAGCACCCATGAAGTAATGATAACAGAACTTCTTATTAATAATGTGCTTACAGATCTACACCCATCAGAAATTGTGGCAGTTTTATCTTGTTTTGTTTTTGAACAGGTTTTTATGATATATACTGATATTTTTTAAAGCAAAATTATAAATCAAACTTCAAATTTTAAATCTAAATTTTAAAAATTAACTTTAATGTTTTTTATTAGTTTTTCATTATTTTCAAATCTTTCCTTTTTTTCAAATATTATACCTAAAATATTATTCCATAATAATATATAGTTTTTAATTTAAATTTATTATTGTTTATATTTATTTTTATTATCATACATATTCCTATATTTTTATGTTATTTAACTATATTGATCATTTCAAAATAGCCTAAATCATTTTTTCATGTTATGAGAAATTAAAAAACAAAATCGTAATTTTTTTTATACATCAAATTAAAAAGAAAAAATTTTCTGATTAAATTAAGATATTATCTTAAATCAATTAGAAAATAGTTTTTGTTTGTTTTATTGTGATGCAAGAGAAACAATAGTGATTTTTTTTTTAATATTTCACAACATGATAAAATGATTAAGGCAATTGTGATATGATTGTGACAATATGTTATTTAAATTTATTTTTTAGGCCTTAATTTTTTTTTTTTTTTTACATTGTTTAATTATTTTTTATAGCTTTAGTATAATTTTATTATTGTTGTTTTTGTTTATTTATATTTGTTTTTATTATTATTATTATAATTTTTATATTCATGCCTATAGCTTTATTATTATTTACTTGTTTTATTTGACAAAAGTTTAAAATTAAAAAATTAAATGATACTTTTGGTTTCTTTAAGAAAAAATCCTCTCCACCAACGCTCACGGACAACTTACAGAAGGTTATGAATATTCATTTACTTTTCTATTATACAATATTTTAATTTCAAATCCTTTACAAATAGTTTGATGCAAGATGTTAAAAAAAATATTTTGGCGCATAATGTAAATAAAGCAGTTTATTGCTACTGAAATTTTTTTTCTTATTTTGTTTGTATTAAATTCAGGTGGTTAATACTGTGAAGCAAATTGCAAAAACTATTGCTGTTTGTCAGAAAAAGCAAGGTCTTAACGTGACAGTAGAAGAATTCATAGAAGAGTTACACTTTGGTTTGGTAGAAGTTGTGTATGAGTGGGCACGTGGAATGTCTTTCAAAGATATAATGAACCTCACAGATGTCTCTGAAGGTAAAGAAATAAGTTTTACAAGTAAAGTGATAAATCCCAAGCTGCATTTTAGATGTGTTTACTTGTTCTCTTTCTTGTTCTTTTTCTTGTTCTCTTTCTTGTTCTATTTCTTGTTCTCTTTCTTGTTCTCTTTCTTGTTCTCTTTCTTGTTCTCTTTCTTGTTCTATTTCTTGTTCTCTTTCTTGTTCTCTTTCTTGTTCTCTTTCTTGTTCTCTTTCTTGTTCTCTTTCTTGTTCTCTTTCTTGTTTTCTTTCTTGTTCTATTTCTTGTTCTCTTTCTTGTTCTCTTTCTTGTTCTATTTCTTGTTCTCTTTCTTGTTCTATTTCTTGTTCTCTTTCTTGTTCTCTTTCTTGTTCTCTTTCTTGTTCTCTTTCTGTAACTTTTGTTGAGAACAACAAGTTGTTCTCTTTCTGCAACTAGGTAGCTCATAGGGATTGTAATATTGGTTTATCTGTAAATAGTTGATTTTCATTCCAATAAATTTACCGGTGTATTAAATTTAGTAGTTTAAATGATATAATAATTGCAAAATGTTTAAGGTTCTTTTATAGATATTTTAAATATTATAGTATTTTATAAATATTAATATAGTTTATAGATAGTGTAATTTGCATAATGTTTAGGTTTTTTTATAGATAGTAAAAGTTGCATAATGTTTAGGTTTTTTATAGATAAAGAGAAATAACTGCTTTTCATTTTTGAAACAAACTAAAAAAATGTGAAAACTTTTAATGAAACGAAAAAGTCCTTTCATTTTAACAAAAACAAAAAAGTTTGTAACATATTGAGCTAGACACTTGGAAGTAAATTTCAAAGTTAGTTACTGATCCTTGAAGGTTACATACCTATAGAGTTCCCACTCGGCATACAAAGCATGCAACTGTTTATATGGGTGTGCAAAGAATGTAAAAGCGTGGATTTTTGTTAAATAATTATGAAAAAATCAATTTTTAAATGAATTTTTCAAAATTCAAATTTTTTTTTTTAGAGATTTAGTTAATACTTAGTTTTTGTATAAGAAATTGGCTATTAAATAAATTAATAAGATTTATTATTTATGTTTTATTTATTCATAAAGATTTATACTATTTAATCTATTTAAAATCTGTTTATTATTTAATCCATTTGAAAATATACTAGTTAAATTATTTTAAAATGTATATTTTTAAGGTTTTATATTCACTAAAAATATATAAATGAGTAAGACCACCTACCAAACTTCTTGGGAAAGCAAATTCAAGTGAGTTTTAGCTGTGAATCACAATTTAAATTTAGCTTATTGCAATTATTGTAAGACATCTTTTAGTATAATATTCTTTTTATCTTTCAATATTATTAGTCAACTTGTAAAGCATGATAAAGATAAAAAAAATTAGCAAAGGTCCTTGTAAAATATCTAACAATCAAAAGCAGTTCAATGGATCAGTCAAACATTCTGATGTTTGATGTTCAAATGTCCATATAGATGAACAAGTTTCTCACATTTTACATCACATTTTTCTTCACAACTTAGTCATTTATATAGTTTGGTAACATAATTTCAGCAGATGCTTAAATTATGCAAGCTTTTCAAGTTGTAAGTTGTAATTATAGTTTCAAGTCAACAGAAAGTGACAATAAAAAATTTAGCTCAATGTTTTGTGATTTTGTTGTGACAAAGCATTATAAGCAAGGTGAATCACAAATTAAACATCAAATACAGTTTTTTCATTGCTCCTTATGTTAAAAGTATGCTAAAATCTGATATTGCAAAAACACCATTCACTTTTAAGTTTGATGAGACAACTAAGCAAGTAGAGATCAACCAAGCAAGATCTTCCTATATTTACGAACGGTAATGTACTTAATGAGTCATCTACCCTTCATCTTCTAGGATTAACTCTTACTTCCGATCTTTCATGAAAACCATATATTAAATCCATTGCAAAATTAGCATCTGCTAAAGATGCATCTCTTTATTGTGCTCGCCACTTTCTTACTCAGGATTCTATTCTTTATCTCTATAAATATCAAATTCGTCCTTGTATGGAATACTGTTGCCATATCTGGAGTGGATCTTCCAATGATGCCCTAATGCCTTGAAAGGATCTTTGAAAGGCTTGAAAGGATCTTTGAAAGGCTTGAAAGGATCTTTGAAAGGCTTGAAAGGATTGAAAGGATCTTTGAAAGGCAATAAAGGTAGAGATCAATGGTTATCTATCAAAATGAAGTTTTTCCAGAACTTGTTTACTTTTATACTAATTCACAACTATCTACTGCTTCTGCCATCCAACAAACTTCATACTGTTATGCTTTTAATTTTTGTTACTTGTATGATGTTAACAAACCATCAAAGTATTAGTGAATAGATAATTATTTCTTTTTTTTTTCTCCTATATAGACTCATCAGAAAGAAAAAAAGATATGCGGTAGTGGTGTAATAGTAGAGCACTCGCTTCATAAACGATATGTTCTGATTTCAATCCCCACCACGTCCCAGGTAGTACCGCGCTTAACTTGTTTCCGCGCAGTGGCCTTGTTCTTCAAGGTTCGTGTTCTAGAGTTATAGAGTTAAGGAAGGGTTGTAACCACAGCTGAAGTAGCCTTTCCTATATATATATATATACAGCCCTTGGAATTAGGAAAAATAAGGTTGGCAATTATTTGCCGACATTAATCTGTGTGAGATCGGCATCAGCTCGGCAGAAAATATGTAAAACAAAGGTTTGACCATAAAATCAAGGTCGGCCATTTTTTGCTGACCTCAAACACTCCTAAGTCGGCAGTTAGGTCGGCATTGCCGAATGATCCTAATTTCGAGAGTTGATATATATAGAGAGAGTTGATATATATAAATATATATATATATATATATATATATATATATATATATATATATATATATATATATATATACATATATATATATATATATATATATATATATATATATATATATATATATATATATATATATATATATATATATGTATATATATATATATATATATATATATATGTATATATATATATATATATATATATATATATATATATATATACTAATTTGCTCAATTATATATATATATATATATATATATATATATATATATATATATATATATATATATATATATATATATATATATATATATATATATATATATATATATATATATATATATATATATATATATATATATATATATATATATATATATATATATAGTTAATGTATGTATATTATCAGTATATATATATATATATATATATATATATATATATATATATATATGTATATATATATATATATATATATATGTATATATATAAAGTGTGTACATGAAATAAGTGTGAAAATAGAAAAACATCTATAAAAAAGTACTCATCAACTTTTATTTAGAACTAAGTATTAATTTTAATACATTAATGTGAGAAGATAAAATATTTTAAAGAAATTAATTTACTCCTGTGCGCATCTAATAGAATTTTGAACTTTTGCTTTGGTGGTACCCATAAATTTGTGCATAGAATAACAATAAAAACTATTTGATGCTTTTTTAATGACATTTTTTGCTTAATAATTACCCAGAGTACTTTGCAATAATTACCCAGTACTTTGCAATAATTTTGAATTATAGGCAGTTCGGAGGATTTGCTATTTTAAACATAACTTTTACGGTATTTTGTTTATATCGTCCCAAGTCAGTTTGCTTTAATGACTTGATGAATTATTATGAACACGTCTACTATAATGTGATTTAGTAAGAGGTGAAGGAAATATTTTAAAACACTCTTTAACATATATTTTACCAGAAAGTGAGGACTCAGAAATATGGGTGTTGATTTTTTGTCATACCTGCAAATAGCTTGCTTAATCAATTAAGAACCTTATCATGTTTTGCGTATTTAATTTTCTTATCTGCTTTTCCTCTGGCATCATAATAGACAGCACCAGGAATTTGCAGGATTCGTACTTAATAAAGATTTCATCATCTTTAATAATTCAGAAATTTTAAGAAATATAATTGTCATAAAACTTTTTTTCACTTTTTTTTTTAATTTTAGAACGGTTAGGCACTTTTTGTGATTTGAAAGCTTGAAAAACATGTTTATTTTTAGCTTTTACAACAAAACTGTAAGAAAATCCTTATTTTTCTGCGCGTTCTCATGGTGAGAGGCTTAGATTATTCATAAAACTGTTAACCTGTTTTCTAACCAGTTTTATATCTTGAAAAACCTTTCCTCCATTACCAGATTTTTGTTGGATCGGATATCTATAGTAAGCACTGGCGTTACTGCATTGGCGTTACTGCATTGGCGGTTTGCAGAAAAGCGATTTTTTTTTATTATGCGATAAAAAATCACATCAAATCGCACTCAATTTTTCGATAAAAAATTAACTCACAATAAATCTCTCAGTGATTCTACAAAAATGGCAGGATTGCAGTTATCTAAATATCGCATTCGTAACTAAGCGCCCCCGATTTCTTATTTAAATATCAAAATCTACCAATATTATTAACTGTGCAGGCTAAGTAATTGTAATAGTCAATATAATTAATGGGTCCAGACTGACCAGGGAGGCTTTTTTTATACGTACCTGTAATAAAACTTGTATGTAATAAAGTACCAATAAAAATAATAGTTATGTGTAATTAGATAGTTACGTAATGTCACCTGTATCTAATTACGTAGTATGTACAATAATAATAGTTGATTGAATTACGCCACTATTTGTTTTCAAAGTTTTGTTACTTTTTTAAGATTGTTCCTATAGCAACACGTGGTTATTCTAGCTCGTAAAAGGTTTAAAATCCTCTATTAGCTCGTAAAAGTTGTAAGATCCTTTATATTTTTAGAAGGATTATTTCTCATAACTTTTTGTAATAAGATCAGTTTTATATACAATAATATACTTCATTACCAAATGCATTATTTATTATTTATAAAAAACAAGTTTGTTACATTTCTTGTTGATAAAAGTCGATTACTAATTTAAATTTAATTCCAGGAAACATTGTGCGGTGCATTCAAAGATTGGACGAAACCTGTCGAGATGTGCGAAAGGCTGCTCATGTGATCGGTGTTCAAGCACTTTGCGATAAAATGGAGGAAGGAATGAGTTTAATTCGACGAGATGTAGTATTTGCTGCAAGTCTTTACACGTCTTAGGATTTAACACTAAATCAAGTTTTATATGTTTATAACTTATTTTTATTGTAGTTAATATAGTTGTTACAATTATATATTATAATTATGATAATTATGTAATATTTTAAGCTTTTATGAATATTTTATATAATCTGTATGTTTTTGTTTTTATGTCGATATTTTGTTTTAGATTTTTTATCCTCTCCTAAAATAATTTTTAGATTTAAAATACTATTGACGTTAGTAGAAATTACATTTTAATATATTTTTTGCTGATAATAAACTGCAAATATTTTAAGGGTATTTATTAAAAGTTTACCCATATAAATGTTTCAAAAATCGGTATCCACTACAACGGATGCAATGGTATTTCTGACCATTGTGCCTAAGTGAAACTCAACTTACGCTGTGTTTTAACACCACACCATACTCGGGGTAGAACAACTGCTTTATTAAAAAAACGATTTGGTGTGGAACATAAATCTCAGCAGGCAAAGACGTCCGTGGAACGTCTATACAACGTCTTATGGGTGTTACATGTCTGTAGAACGTCCTTAAGGCGTCCAGCGGACGTTTTGTGCTCGCTGGGATTTTGTTCTTAATAATTGAAATGCTAAGCATGCGCAAGTTTTTAAATTCTGTAAATATTTGAAGACAATAACTTGACGCGTTTAGCAATTTAAGAGTGCTTTTCTTAAAATTGATAATTGAAGAGTGTTTTTCTAAAGAGTCCATTTTACTAGTAATTTAGTTTTTTCAACATTTGGATTTTTTATTGAAAAAGGTACAAATCTAACTATGCTAGTATTATACAAAATTATTGAGATTCATAAAATACTTTGCCTCATAATTAGTTTTTTATTTTTCTCAGAACATGTAAAATATGACTTAAATCAAATCAAAGTCAAATTTATTTTTTGAATAAAAATTCTTACATGAAGGCTATTTACAAATAATAATAAGTACTAATATAAAGTAAACACCTGCCAAATTCAACAATAATAATAGTGATAATAACAACAAATATTATATTGATATCAATAATCGTAATAATTATAAAAAGTTATGCTATAATTAAATATATAAACGACAATAATGTCAGTAATAAAAATAATTATTATAACAACAATACACTTATAATAGCGATAATAATTGCAATAATAATAATAACAATATTATTATTGGTAATATGTACATGGACGCCTATACTACTTGGGTAAGTAAAACTTGCCCAAGTAGAGTAGGCGTTTATGAACTGATTCTATATTTCAAATTGTGCGTACCTCCCAACAGAATATCACAAAAGTCAGAATTAGCCGGCCAACAAAAACTTTCAGCGCTTGCGGTCTTAACACTCATAAATACAAAGTGCAACAACTTCTGAAGTCACGTACACATTTACATACTTTGCTATAGATTCAATGAGAAAGTCAGACAGCATCTTCTCCGTAAATATTAACGTTTTCCGTAATTTCAATTTTCCGTTCAAATTAATGGAAAAAGTCAGCCAGCAGACAATACGATAATTATAAAACGTACTAATTATGGATGAAGAGCGGCACGCCAGGTTGTTTTAAATGAAAATACAGTCTAGCTTTCAAATGAAAATAGGCTTTACCTTAATTAGAGCGGGAGGCTGCATAAACGCGAATTGGCATATGTGCAAACTGGCATAAGTGCGAAACGTTGCAAAAACTGGCATAAGTGCGAACTGGTATAAGTGCGCCAAAACATTTTGCAAACATTGGCATAAATGCGAATTGGTATAAGTGCGAACTGGCATAAGTACGAAGCAGTTGCAAAAACTGGCACAAGTGCCAACTGACATAAGTGCGCCAAACAAATTTTCAAACTTTGGCATAAGTGCGAATTGGCATATATGCAAACTGGCATAAGTACGAATCAGTTACAAAAACTGGCACAAGTGCGAACTGACATAAGTGCGAATAGGCATAAGTACGCCGAACAAATTTGCAAACATCGGTATAAGTGCGAACTGGCATAAGTGCAAATCAGTTACAAAAACTGGCATAAGTGCGAACTGGCATAACTGCGAATTGGCGTAGGTGCGCCAAATAAATTTGCTAATATTGGCATAAGTGCAAACTAGTATTTCGCACTTAAGCCAATTCGCAGTTATGCCAGTTCGCACTTACGCCTATGTTTGTAAAATATTTTGGCGCACTTATGCCAATTCCCACATATGCCAGTTTGCACTTATGCCAGTTTTTGCAACGCTTCGCACTTATGCTAGTTCGCACGTATGCCAATTCGCGCTTATTCAATCGTCCCAATTAGAGTTATTAACAGTGCAGAAACTTCCGCAATGGCGGACGCTTTTTGATAACGATTATATAAATAAATTAGAAAAAAAGATAAAAAAATAAAATAAAAAAAATAAAATAAATAAAAAAAAAAAAAAAAAGAATGAAGAAAAGAAAAAGAAAGAAGTTTTATTTATTTTGAGGGACGTTTGTTTTTTGTTGTTGCTGCTTTTTGTTTTTGTATTCTTGTGAATTGTATATTGGGCAATGTAATGTATAGTTCATATTGTTATATGTTTTAGTGCGTTGTTTGCATCGGTATGTATTTTTTTTTTTTAGTTTTATGTTGGTTGGACATTTTTTTAAAATGCATTTTTTTAAACCTGTATGTAAAATGTATATATTTTAAAGCTATATATGTATATGTATCTATATGTGTATGTATACATATGTATGTGAGTGTATGTACGCGTGCGTGTGTATTTATGAGCAAATATGTGATCTACGCATGAGGGTAAATATGTGTACATATTTTTATATTTTTGTTTGTGTATGCATGTAACAATATTGAACTTTCTTATCTTTTTAATGCTTTTTTTTTTTTTTTTTTTATCTTTAATTTTTATCATTTTTTTGTTATGTTTTTTGTTATAATATTATTACTAGTAATTTTAAATATTTATCATAACCGCAATTATTACTTTTAACTTTACTATTATTATTCCTATTATATTATTTTCAATATAAATTACTGTATTATGTCCTTGTTAGTTGTTACGTTTTTTCAGTCAACTGTTTGTATACGGTTTTGCATACGGTTGCCAGCTAATGCGGCCGTATTCCAAAGCCTACATTAGTTTTAGACATTGTGCACGATAGCTGGTGCAGTTGACCGACAGTATCGTTAATTGTGTAGATTGCAGTAGATTTTTATTGTTGTTGCATAACTTTGTACTTATGTACATAAAAGAAATGGGGCCATGTGTGCAATTATTTCACTGCTTTGTTGATTTTGTCTTAGACTTTTATGGTGTCTTGTTCAATTTGATAACCCCAATTGATTTACAGTTGTCTGCACGCATTTTAAAATCATGTTATAAATAATAAATAAATGCATTTTGTCTGGTAGATCGTTTATGTAGATTAGAAATAGGAGTGGTCCAAGAACAGACACTTGTGATACACCACTTGAGATTCTTTTCCATTCAGAGTTATTTCCTAAAGGTGCACGTTGTAGGCGGTTAGTTAAGCAGCTTCTTGTACATTTGTGCAAGGCATAAGTCACTCCGTACGATTTCTGCTTGTGCAGATGACAGCAATGTGGAACTTTGTTAAAAGCTAACTCAAAGTCCGTAAATAACATGTCGGTTAGGTGACCTTTGTGGAAAGCTTCTGTCAGCATGAGAGAAGCGATTTTCAAGTAACACAATTGTCTCTTCAAATTTATTAGATATAACATGTGGGGTCCCTCAAGGTTCTATACTAGGACCTTTTCTCTTTTTAATTTACATTAATGATCTCCCTAAAGCCTCAACTTTAATGACGGTCATGTTTGCCGACGATACAAATCTTTTTTTATCTCATAACAACATAATAATATTATTCCAAAATATGAAAATTGAATTAACAAAAGTTTCTGACTGGTTTAAAATGAATAAACTGTCACTAAATGTTAAGATAACTAAATGGATACTTTTTCATCAAACTTCAAAAAAAAAGCTACTACCTCCTGTCATGCCCTTACTTTTTATTGACAAAGTTCAAATAAAAAGAGAAAAAACTATTAACTTTTTAGGAATAAATATTGATGAAAACCTCAGTTGGAAGTATCACATTGATTTTTTGTGCAACAAAGTTGCTCGAAATATAGGAGTAATGTACAAAGCTAGAAATGCTTTAAACAAACAAAGTTTAACACAATTATATTTCTCTTTAATCCATTGTCATATAAATTATGCAAATATTGCTTGGGGTAATACCAATAAATTTAAACTGCTACCTCTTTATCGTCAGCAGAAGCATGTTGCTCGTCTTATCAATTATAAAGATCGACTTGCTCATGCCAAACCATTACTATTTCAAATGAAAATTCTTAATATTTATCAGCTAAATATTTTTAATATACTTTGTTTTATGTTCAAGTGTAAAGCCAACGAATCTCCAGTTTCTTTTCATAATCTATATACCTTAAAAGATAAAAATAAAAATAACTTAAGAAATGATTATCTAATTCGGCAACCTTTATCTTTAACTAATTTTGGAAAGTCATGTATTTCATATCGAGGAGCTTTTCTTTGGAACAAGATAGTTTTAAAAAATTTTGATTTTTCCCATGAAGGAATTATCTTTCATTCAAGAAAAAATTAATAGAAATTGTTTTATCTTTTGAAGACATGTTTTTATATTTTGATTTTTTGCAGCACAGTAACTAAGAACGCGTGGGTGAGTGCTATTGAGTCCCATTGATTTGATTTTGAGGAGATACTTTAAGATCTAAGGATTTAGGATTGATTGTTAGTTGTTTCAAGTTGGCAAATGCGGCTGTGTGTGATTTGTTTACTCTTGACGTATGAGTGGATAACTTTATTTATTATCATTATTTTTTTATCTTTTTATTTTAGGCATCCCAAGAAGTTTTTACAATCTTATCACAGAGCACCGCAGATGAGCATTTGAAGGGAAGTTTGCGCCTCCTTTCCTTCCAATGTTATAAAACTTGCCCAGAGGTGGTGTTGAACCACGGATCACTAGCTTCTGAGGCAACAGCGCTAACCACTGCGCTACGGCAGCTCAGTTTTTTGAGTCTTGTCTGTTATTTTTTACCAGTTTTTCTTTACAAACAAGAAGTGCAATTTTGACTAACTTTTTTATTATTTTACTTGCATTTTTCTGT